TAACTAGTACAATAAATCTGTGTGGAAAGTAATGTGATTCTTTAATATTGGTGACTTCATACATAAGATGATTTAGTCTAAGGTCATAAGTATGTCATATTGTGTATAGATTGAATCAATATTATTTTGATAATTTTTATTAACTAATTTGAAATCATTAATTTGATGATGTGAAATATGGATTTAATTGAAAATTGATATATCAAATAAAATTAAGAATCTAGATGATGAATACATATATTGAAAATTATTTCAAACAAATGACTAAGGTGTAGAAGGTTTAAATTGATGATCTTGAGCATATAATGTATCTTATTTTATTTTAATTATTGTCAAGGGAATAAATATTAAAATATTTAAGTATCAATACAGTAAAAAGTCTATGTAAGGTAAATTTATCATCATGTTATGTGAAAGTCTTAAGATTTTGATTTTCTATATCAAATGATTTTCTTAATGTAGGCATATGACTAACCAGTAACAATCTATTTGAACAAAGAGTATATTGAAACAAATTTCAGAGAAAATTATTAAAGTGTTGAATTGTTATTTATTTTATGACATAACTTCTGTAATATTTTCATCCAAGGGCAAAATAGTTTATGGCTTTTATCTCAAAAACTATGAACAGTGAAAAACTGATCCAAAGAAGAATTCAAATATGAAAACCACATATCAAAATTAAAAATATTGAAATAGTTCTGATTTTACAAGTTTTAGAATTATTTTTCTATATGTCATAGGACTTGCTTGCGACCCACTAAGGCTCACCTAAGCTTTGACTATTTTACTCAATAAGTGTCAATAAAGAGAAGTCTAGTTGACCATAAAAGGAGACATTTAGTCTAAATTAGGGTAATGGGAAAATAAATGATTTTCAAGCATCAATGAATATTGTGTAAGATCTTTTTTTCTTCTCCATCACCTCTTCTTAGGTCTATGAGAATTAAGGATGTGTATGTCACTTAGAGTCTTAAGTAATTCTTTCCTCAACCCAACACTTCTCAAGTCAGACAACTCTTGGTGCATCAAAAGGATAGTTGAAGACTATATTAACTTCATTATAAATTATTTGTTTGTTATTATTGTATTGTGTGGTGTGTGGACTGGTTGAGACACTTATGTTGTGTAATCAACACAATCATATTAGTCTCTAGGGGCCCTATATCATGTAGGCAATGAAGAGATCTAAGACTTTTAAGTTTAAGGTTATAGGTTGAGTGTTCATAGGCTTGTGAAGTTTGGTGTTGTAAATTGATTCTTGATCTCAATAAAATCAAATGTATTTCTTTGGTGAAATAGTGAAACTAAGATGGACTCTTTAGAAGTGTATGTAGGTTAAAAGAGTTTTGTCAATCCACTATAAAGTATTGTATGCACAAAATATTGTTTTATTTATTATATATGAATTTAAATTATATTTAAATTAGTATTATATATAATAATAATATATTTAATCAAATAACAATTTAAAATAAATTCAACTTCTCTCTTGATTTATCTAACTATCATAGGACAAACAATTGATATTAGAGCTCAATTCATCTTGTAGAAAGTAGTTATCCTTGTGAAAAAAAATTGAATGACCACCACTTAAAAAGGTAAATAGGTTGAATATATAGACCTTTTGTATTTGATGAAAATTTATACATATTAGTAAATAGCTATGAAAGTGTTTATTATAAATTTTTATATTAATACTTGGAATGTAGTTGAATGTCCCATATGTGGATGAACCTAATATGACTTTATTTTCATTAAATAACAAGGTTATAAAACTGATGTAAGTTGTAATATAAACTTGACTTCATTATGCTGATAATAATAGACTTAACCATATTTCAAAGTGTAATATATTGAAAGAAATATGGGACATGCTTGACAACACATATGGAGAAAAGGTAACTAGGAGTAGGGATAATTCTTTTGAAGAATAACCGAAATTTATGTCATACAATGCCAATTATCAAGATACATCCTTCTAATAAATTTAAATTGACTGAAGATGAGTTTTAGGATGCATTTGAGGAATTAACAGTTGCAAACACAAATTCATATGCAAAACTTAGGAAATTCAGATAATAATTTACTAATGCTAAACAAGAAATTAAGATTTTAGTTAAAGAAAAGAAATTATTGAAAAAATAATTTCATAAAATTAAGGAGAATTTTGAGGATCCTGAAATTGTTTGTAATAATCTTAAATTATAGATATCATACTTGAAAACTCTAAATATAAGGATTCAACCTTCTTTATATAAAATTAGTGAGAGCCAACAAGAAACAGATGAGGTGATAAAAGTCTAGTGCAAACACAATAACTATGAAGGTTTATAACATCTTGAGAATTGTGAACATATGAAACAAAAAAAGTATTGGAATAGGCAACAATTTGGTCACCCTAAATTCCAATTAGACACTCATTCCATAGAAAAAGAATTATCTAAGTTTGGGCATCTAAAACTATTATATGTTCTACAAGTCATCATATGAAGAAGCAATTTATAGTGAAAAATTAAGTTAAGAACTAAGATAGTCAAAGAGAGGTTAAACAAGCTTGTCTACCAATAATTACATTATAGTCTATTATAAAAATATTTTTAAAAATATATTTCACATTGATTGATATTTGAGAATTAGTTTCATATCATGATGAATCAATTGACACCAGTATTCGAAGTGTAAATAGAATAAGTTAACTACAAATTATTAACATTTGGAATTATAAATTAATTGATAATCAATTAACAATTAGAAAATATCTTGTTGACTGAGATTTGGCTTGAAAACCTTCGAAGATATTCTTTCCACAAAAAACTTAAAAGTAAATGTAAATGTTTCAAAAAGAATTTCTGAAAATTTGGAGTATATAGTTCATATATTCATAAAGTTTTCTTTCCAACTATCAGCCCAACTAAACATTATGAACATTTCAAATGATAACACCATCAAAAAATTTATTTTTTTCTTTGGCCAATTGATTTTCGACTTGTTGTATGCCTATAGATGAAAAATAAATGATGAAAATTGTATGCATCTAATCAAAGAGAGAAGTAGGGGAAAAAAAATGTAGATTCATTGATTTATACATAATTATAAAAACTTGTTGTATGCCTCTAGGATAAATAATGTCATGTCTTGAGGGAGATTACAGTGTATAATTTACAAATAGATCAATGAAAATTCGGATATAGCTCCAATTCAAATAGAGTTATATTTTTGAACTTTTTTGTTTATTGAAACCATAACTTGACTTCTAAAAACCAATTTGACAACAATGTTAAATCAATGGATCAATTATGTCTTTTGATAAATTAAATGAAAACATGATTGTAATGTTAGGAAATGTAGGAATGGGAAAAATCAAATTAAAGTTAATGACATTTTAAAAACTTGGTTGAATGAAAATGGAATCTATAATTATTTCATTATTTTTCCACAGTTTCAATGATTATAAATTGAAGGGAAGGAAGAAATGTTTTTATAAAAATAAGTGGAAAAAAGTTAGCAAAAACAAGATGAATTAGGCACATTCTTAGGGGGAGTAGACATGAACATTTCTTGTGTACCAATATAAATGTCTCATATTGTGCTGTATGGCTAAATCTTCGTTGATCAATTCATTTGACTATGTCCCACCAATGCCTGATTATTATAGTAAATCATCATATCTCTTTTAATATACTTTTTGAGAGTTCCAAATATCAACACTCACATTAGTACACATTGTTATATCTAGAAGGAACAATAAAATACTAGGATAGAATTTAAAGCTACTTTCTACAGAAAAAAATATTTTAAAATAATTTTTTTATGTGATAGATGCAATTCCATGTATGATAAATATATTTTAAGGATTGATGATTAATCATGAGTCCTTCATATTTTATGGTGATTTGTATTTTAGATTTAGGTTATTCAATCTAATGTGATCAAAACAAGAATGAGAACATCAAAAATTTGAATAACCAAACAAAAATTGACAAATATCCAGACAAAAATGTAGCAATCCATTGGTGACAAAAATTTAGATCTGATTTCATTGGAGACATAAGCATTTATAACTGAAAATAGATTGCACATATTAAAGGGGATGAAATACACATATCAAAAGCAAGAGACAATTGATAAATTGATACACAATCATAAAATTAGTGAGAAAAACAATCAAATACTAGGGTAAAAGAAAAGTTAATGCATTTCAAGATGTCGTAATCATAAAAAGGGGAAGATAGTTTTGAGTCATGAATTCACTTAATAATATTTAATAGTTTATATAAATTAATTGGAAATCATTAAATTGATGATGTGCTAAGTTTGGCGGGCCACCCCACTACACGGGTATGCCTAACTTTAACCAGGCCACTTTGACTACTCTTTTGTTGACTTGGAAAACGTTAGTGTGGAATATCAGCCGACCATTGGACGGACCACTGACTACGGAAATCATTAGTCAACCAACAACTGCAACCCTCTTCCTACGTTTACCTCTGATTAACCTCCGGCGATTCTCTTAATGACATCATTATCGACGTAGACTGGTGAAATGTACTCCCAAAAAAGGACGTGCCTTTGATCGGAAAATATTTCAGAGAGCACCGTCGATTTGACGACTGGCTGCTCGGGGGAAGGACCACCGCATCAAAAAGGACGTTCTGCGCGGTGAGCTCTCTGGATCGCCATGGACGAGTGAGCGAGAGGAATCGCACGCAGACTATGGCTGCCGGGGCGAGGTCTCGGAGCTCTCTGGTGAGGAGGGCTGACGTCAGGGAAGACCGTCCCACCTCAAGAGAGACTGCCGCTACAAGAAGGAAGAAGAAGGGTAAAGGCCAGTGTTAGGCCGGCAGGTGAGCTCTGAAAGGGGAACGAGGGACGGGGATTCCAGTCTGTTGCCCATACCTTCCTCTACTCCCTGCAAACACTTCCTCACATCTACCGCGCGGAGGAAGAGGAGGAAAAAACTCAAAATATAATAGAATGAAGGGGGAGAGGGGGGGCCGTCAGCGGGTGAAGGCGTAGAAGACGACGGAGACGTAGATGAGCATGGCGGTGGGGACGAGGATCACGAGCGGCACGATGGCCCCCGCGCTGGCCGCGGCGCAGCCGAGCTTCCCGAGCTTGATCTGGACGACGTTCACCAGCGCCAGCATCAGGAATCCGCAGCCAAACATTGATCCGGCGGCGGAGAGCATGATCCCGGTCCGGAGCAGCGCCTTGTTCACGCGCTCGGCTCCCCACGCGTGCTCCCCCCACCAGACGGAGCGGCGGATGTGGAGGCCATTCCTCCGCAGGACGAGGCGGATGGTCTGCTTCAGGCACAGGGCGACCAGGCTGGAGAAGAGGAAGGCGCTGAAGGAGTAGACGTGGAAGGACACCATGTCCTCCGCTGTCCCGTTGCCGGCGGCGCATACCGCCCTGGCCAGGCTCCCCCCGGGATCGGCGGGGTTCCACGCCAGCCCCACGAAGACGCCCAGCGTGAAGAGCGAGTTCACGTTCACGATCCCGTCCAGCGCCGTCACGTGGATGCTCGTCCCCCCGTCACTGCCGCCGTTGCCGCCCCCGTCCTCCTCCTCCATACCTTCTGCTTTCTGCGTTCTGCCTTCTTCTTCCTCTTCTTCTTCCTCGGAGAAGCAAGCGGATCGCCGGCGTGCAGCAGCCGCCAATGGGAAAGAGGAAAAGAGGGAACAGGGAGGAGGCAGAAAGATGTGAATCCAGATCACGTGCTCATTGTAATCTGACGGTCACCTTCTCCACTGTTGTATCCAGCGGACCGTGTGGACCCCACCGATACGGTGTCCATATTCTCTCATCTGGGTAAAGCGAAAAACCAGCCATCGGGGCCCATTTGGCATTGGGCCCATTTAATTATCTTCGATATCCAGATTCCGGGCCCAATGTGCCTTGCCAACGGCTAAAGTAGGCGTTTATTGGGCCGGTTTGGTACAGGATAGGGCCGAAGAGAGTTCTAGAGGCTCCAACCGCCACGAGAGCTCTCGCGGTGTCGCCGGGGCTCGAGAGAGTTCCACAGCTGTCTGTGAAAGAAGCCACTCTGGAACACTCTGGAGCCGCTCCCCTCTCTCCCGCCCACGCTATATAAGCGCACGGGTGCACCTCTGGTACGACATCACAGAGATCAGCAGGCATAGAGAGAGAAAGTAAGAGAGGAAGAAGAGGAAGAAGAGGAAGAGAGAAGATGTCGATCATCCCGAGTTTCTTCGGCCGGCGGAGCAACGTATTCGATCCGTTCTCACTGGACGTGTGGGATCCCTTCTTCGATACTTTCCGGTCGCTCTCGGAGCTCCGGCCGTCATCGGTGGCAACGGAGACGGCGGCCTTCGCCAGCACCAACATCGACTGGAAGGAGACCCCGGAGGCGCACGTCTTCAAGGCGGATCTGCCGGGGGTGAAGAGGGAGGAGGTGAAGGTAGAGGTGGAGGAGGGGCGGGTGCTGCAGATCAGCGGCGAGCGCGCCAAGGAGAAGGAGGAGAAGACCGACCGCTGGCACCGCGTGGAGCGTAGCAGCGGGAGGTTCCTGAGGCGGTTCCGCCTGCCGGAGAACGCGAAGGTGGACCAGGTGAAGGCCGCCATGGAGAACGGCGTGCTCACCGTAACGGTGCCCAAGGAGGAGGTGAAGAAGCCGGAGGTCAAGGCGATCGAGATCTCTGGCTGAGCTCGTTCAGGAGGAACCGCCTTCCGTCGTCCCCGCGCTAGTCAGCGCAGTCTAGCTAGGGTTCGCCGTCGTCGTCTACTTACTCTTTCGGTGGTGCCGAGTAAGTTCTGGTGGACGTGTCTGCTGTAAACTGTGCGAAAAGTAGAAGACATAATAAATACTGCCACGTGTTCCCTAGAGGCCCCACTTGACTTGTCAACCCAAAAGAGCAGTAACCAATCGCGTTCCTAGTCCGTGTGGAAAGAGAGAGAGAGGGAGCGTGGTGGTAAATTGCTCGACTCGGGTGATCACTCCGAGGATTTATTCAACACACAAATAGATAGCACGACATCTCAAAGATCTCTCTCTCTCCCCCCCCTTCGCTAAGGAAGAAGCAGCTTACTAACTACTCATCGACTTTATATCGCGGATGATTCTCTCCAAGCTCGAGTGGGAAGATCCACCCTCGGCGAAGGCCTCCCTGGTCGTCATCGCCATGGCGGCGGCGGCCTCCCGCATCTTTGTGCTGCTCTCACCCTCCATCACCTCCCTCACTGCCCTCTCCACGAGGGTTCTGTCGCAGGTGTCCTTCATGTCGACCCCGATCCCCCACACCTCGCTGACGAACCTGCTGTTGATCTGCTGGTCGGCGAAGTAGGGCCAGCACACCATGGGCACCCCCGCGCAGATGCTCTCCAAGGTGGAGTTCCACCCGCTATGGGTGAGGAAGCACCCCACCGCCGGGTGAGCCAGCACCTCCTCCTGCGGCGCCCACTCCACCAGGAACGCCCTCTCCTTCCTTCCCACCGGCAGCGCCGCCATCATCCCCTGGCGGAGGTCGCCGGCGTCGCCCACCACGAGTCCCGGCCTCAGGACCCACAGGAAGTCGTACCCGCTGCCGACCAGCCCGTGCCAGAACTCGTAGAACTGCTCCTTGGTCAGCACCGTGACACTGCCGAAGCTGACGTAGACGACGGAGGCGGGGGGCCTGCCGTCCAGCCACTCTACGGAAGCCCGGTCTTCCTTCCAGAGGCTGGAGGAGTTGGAAGAGGAGACCCACCCCCTGCCGCCGCCGCCCTCCGCCGTGCAGGTCGCCGGAGTGGATTCGACGGCCTTGAGCAGCTTGTGGATGGGCCCGATCGTGTAGACCAGAGGAATCTGTTTTCGAATATGAGCCAGAATGGATTCCTCGGCGAGCTCGGTCGTGTTGAAGATGAGCCCCCGGCACCGGATCGCCTTCTCGCTGAGCCCCTTGACGTACTGCATGATGGCGTCTCCGACGACTTTGGCTCGGCAGAAGCTCGGCAGGTCTCTCCGGCGAAGGAAGCTCTCGGTCCCTGGCACGGACCCCAGCAGTGCATCCAAGTCGCCCCCATCTGCCGCGCGACCACATCGTCAGATAATATCGTGTGATTTGAAGGCCAAAAGGCCATGGTGGTTTTGAATTTGATGTACTTTCTTTCGAGTTATCGTACCTTGGAAGGGGATCTCCCCTCGCTGTATGAGGTCGGGGATGCAGCAGTAAGCCCAGAAACTGCTGGCGCTGCTGGTTCGGAAGAGCAAAACGGGGAGGCCCGCTTCCTCCCCCACCTCCACCGGGAAGTCGAGGAGGCCGTCGGCGAGGACGCAGGTCACCGGCGGAGCGTCCCCTCCGCCGGAGACCAGGAGGAGGAGGAGCTCCCGGAACGCCGGTCGCGCGGCGGCGTTGAAGGAGTCGAAGAGCTCCATCATGCGGTCGGCGGTGCGCGGGTGGTCCTCTGGAACGCCGTCGGGGATGGATCGGAGGTGGAGCCCCGGGCGGCGGGCCAGCCGGGCGCCGACGGCGGCGGAGCTGAGGAGGCGGCGGTGGTTGTGGTGGGAGTTGAGGAAGGTCACGCGAATACCCGCGAGGCACAGGATCTCGGCGAGCTTCAGCATCGGCGTCACCTGCCCCTGCGCCGGGAACGGGATAACTATGACGTGTGGCCCCATCGTCGCAGCCGGATCCCCCGTCTCTCCGCCGCCGCCAACCTCTCCTCCACCTCCAACGATCATTGCGCGGGATCTGAGCAGCGAGCCTTCTTATTAAAGCACCGCAGCACTGCGGTTCCTGCCACTGGTCGATTTCTGTCGTGGGTAGCATTCGTACGATCCAATCTATTTCTGTCGTATCTGCTTCAGAATGAATGTAGTTTTTCAACCCGTGGCGCTCGAACCGAGAACGCTTGGGATTGCCGCATTGATAGGGTCGGCCGGGCGGGCCAACCCTCTGGGGGTCCACAAATTATGTCGGCCATATGTCTTGATAGCCATACAGCACCCGCCTGCGAAGGGCGGGCGTGGCACATTTAGCCAACCGACCCTTTTAAACTCTGACGACAGCAGGGCACGGGGACTTTATAGACCCTCGAATCTGGAGGTTTTTGAAAATTACCGATGTGGGACTTTTCTGGTCACAGAGGTTTCAGAATACAATTAAATCCCACGACAAAACAATTGATTACTCGCGAATATTTTTCTGGAAGGGGGGGGGGGGGGGAGGGGGGTTGGGGCTGTTCTTCCGGTTTGGCATCTGGGTCGACTCAGGATTGAGGAGCGGGTCAGGCGATGTATCTCTCCTGCTGCTCCTGGAGGAGCCTGGCGGAGGACTTGGCATCCAGATACAGAGCAGCCACTTCTTCGATGTCGGCCTGCAAGGGGAACAAGCAGTTAAGGACGAGCACGGCGATCGCTGATGGGTAAGAGGAGAGGAATCCTGCTGAGCAGAAGAGATTCCAAGAACACACGGGAAGGAATTCGGAGGTGGGGGAGAGAGCTCGGAGATTTCTGCACCTTGCAGATCTTTTCCCGGCCGTTCGTCCGAGACACGATGCTCGCTGGGGACAGCAACTGGACAGCGTGCCTGAGGAGACAAAGAGGAGAGGTGGCTTAAAGGAGGGAGCTTGGACGCGGGGGGGAAGAGTGCCGGAACGTGTTCTACAAGCAGAAAGGACCGAAGCCAAGAGGAACAGACTAGAACGAATAGGAGATCCATTCTCTCTTTCTCTCTCTCTCTCTCTCTCTCTCTGTGAAAATCCTAGAGAAATGGCACGGCCGCCATTGCTCTTGAGAGAAAGAAGTGGGTTCTTTCATGGTTGCAGACTGACAGATAATAATAGGAATCAATGTATATAATATGTTCAAGAGAAGAAAAAGGACCTTAACGAAGCTCGCTGACCAATTTCCCCAAGGTACGCCAGACTTTCTTCATCGATGACCAACTCTTCGACCTGAGCCCGGATCGCTAATATCTGGCCTCAGAAAATCAACGCCGCAATTAATAACGAAAATCGGGCAATTAAACTTGGGGAAATTATGGGCGGCGAAATCAGCATGCCAACCTGAATCATTTCCGTTAGTCCATAAGTTTCTGTACGAACAATCACTAGCCGATCGAGCAAATCCACAGGAATGCCATGCGGGCTATTCATATCGGTCCCTCTTCAGAAAAAGAATTAGTCTGTAAATGAAATGCAGAAAAGAACACCAAAACCTTGAAAAGAAAAAAGAAAAACCGAAAATTTATACAATAATTTTATACGGTCGCAAAGGCATCTAAATGATGAACGATTTGAAAGGGCTCCTTGTTCAACTTATGCATGAGCATATGCTGCCATGATAAATAGATATCCCTAACACCTAAAAGCGTCATGACTTGTCTTCCCATGGGTTGAACGTTGTAAAAATTTTCACATATACCTAGTAATCAGGGGTTAAGATTCCATACCGCACATTACATATTCCTCTGTTGGTAGCAAATATTACAATCGGAGATAATGAGCTCTCTAAAGCCCGATTGAGGTATGAAAAACATTCCATATCCAGCATGTGAACCTGAAAAAAACAAAACCATGTAGAGGCGTGTGATGAGCTGCGATGTTCTGGGAGGAGAGGACACTGAAACAAGTTGAAAGGGGTACCTCGTCAATGAATAGGACACCAGGGACAAGCTCAGCTACCCCCTCGTCAATGTACCTATTCACCACCTGAAATTGACGGAGTGTGCTCATCAAAGAAAATTATTCTAGTTTGTCAGCATATGTAAATGGAAATTTCAAAGCGCCCCCCACCCCTCTGACTAACTGGGGGATAGTCGCTCTGGTAGCTCACGTGGAAAATAAAGTCAAAGAGCCATGCACATAGCACAAAACAGGAGGATTCACGCCAAAAGCCCACAGGTGACTTGCAGTTTTAAGTACTTGTCAAAAAAAATGGGCAAAATAATGTCCAGGAATCGATAATGGTGTTTAGAGGGAGAAAATTTGGTCAAAGAAGAACCTTGTTTATTTCCTGCCGCAGTTTATCTGTGATCTCAGTCTTACGGGGTTTCATCATCTGGCCCATCAATGATAATATATCTTGACCTCCCTGTGGGCGAGCATTGGCCGCATCAAGATCGTGAAGTGTGACATCCTGATGAGATCAAAAAGACAACATTCTTATTCGGTTGAAGAGTCAAATATAGACATCTTGATCTAAGATCAAGCATGAAATAATGTACTTGAGGAACAGATATCTTTGACCCATCCAATCAAGGAAAATTTCAGATAAGATTGTTTTTTACAGTGATGAAATTAATGATTAGAGAAAATAGGGAAGATTCGGTTGACAACTGCAGAAAACGGGGAAACATGCAGAGGAATGGATATGTTGGTGGACAAAAATCTGATTCAAACCTCGTACCTGTACTATCTCCTTCTTCTTGTGCACCTCGCCCTTGGGGAGAGGAACGTACTCTTCAGCTTCAAGATCAAACTCAGTAGCAAAAGCATCACTCCTGCCAACCCTCTTGACTGCTCCACTGTTCGCTTCAATATAGATTACATCACCCACCGCCACCTACATCATCAACCAAAGCAAAACCACCCTTTTAATATCTGGCACAACAAATCTCTTCAAAACTTAGACTTGATATAGGTACCTACAAAAGCCAAGAAACTCATCAAGATATAGGTACCTGTGTGCCATTGGACTTTATGAACTATCAATGTAGATAATGGCACACATGAAAAGAAAATTAATTTACCTTTTCCTTTATTAAAGCATCATAGATAGTAGGATCCAACTTCAGCTGCTTGGTTCCCTTTACCGTTTTAAGCCCTATAATTACATGACTTATGCTCTTTCCATAGCCACCTGTGGTGCTCCCGGTTTCTTCTGGCGAGAGTTCAGTCACCTGACAAAATGAACCCGTATTATTTTAAGAAAAATGTGTTCCACCGCAGGAGTGTGTTTATAGCCATACATGAAGAACAAGGCTAGAGAGCATCATATTTTATCAGAGAAAAAAAATAAATCAAAACAGATCTCAATGGCAGGCAAGGTGTGAATTTACCTCCCCTTCATACACTTCTTTATTCTCTTTGATACGCAGGCCAATAGACCTACGGAAGTTTTCCATGAGCACCTCAGTTTTCTTCACTTCTGATGAGTAGACTTCTGATCCAACCATTGGGCAAAAAGGAACCTGAGAGTTAACTTGAATCATATTGTGTAAAAATGTCTCAGCAAATGAGAGTAAAAACTGTCACTCCAACCAGGATAATATGAGTTATATTTCATGTGACAATACCATATAAAGTTTGGGATAATTAAACTCAAGCTAAATTAAATACCAAAGGATTTCAATCGTGAGAAGATTTATCTCACGTCATATGCAGGTAAATGGTTCAATGTCAAGTTCAAAATATATAGACATTAAAGCTCGATACCCTAAAATGCATATAAAAACGAGAAAATGCACAAATAACGTTATTACACCATTGCATAAAATTAATGAGGATATAAGTTATATCATATAAAAATGATAAGAGAAAGAGAAAAACTGAAACGTTTAAATTATATAAAAATGATAAGAGAAAGACCAAACTGAAACATTCTTTTTATTTTCGTGGACAAATACACGAGAAAATAATATCCTCCAAAACGCTTGATTTCAGAATTTTTTTTCTCATTAGAAGAGCATCAAAAACACATGATGGTTCATGGATCGTACCTTGCTTCCCAGTTCTTGTGATATGCCAAGAGCTAAAGCAGTCTTCCCCGTACTGGGTGGACCAGCAAATAGCAGTGCTCGTCCAGCCATCTTCTTCTGCCTGATCATATCAACAACCAGGCCAGCAGCTTCCCTAGCATCAACTTGACCTACAAAGCCAGCAGACATCGGGAGTGCCCTCCCACTGGCCTGAAACAAGGCTCAATATTGTCAAAACAAGAAGAACTCACCCAGCGAGCAAGCGAGCGTGACTGAGTGAGTGAGTGAGTGCGTCAGAGACAGAGAGAGAGAGAGAGAGAGAGAGAGCGTTGCAATTGCCTTCCAGAAACCAAGAATTAATATTAAAGCAACCACAAAATAAAGAGGAAATTAATGAACCATGTACAAAAATTCTTCGCATTGAGAGGAAATTAACATCAGGCTCACCCCATCTCTGCAACTCTTTTAAACTAGTTCTCACTTTTGTATCAAGGACAGCACCTCTAGATGTAAAAGTGGAAAGCCATGGACCTTACCACTAATCAATGTGCGAATCCCGAGGTAAAGTATGAAGATGCGGCCATTTTGAAAACTACACATTTTGGCACGAACATTAAACGTCTACAATTATCAGCAGAATTTGACCGAGGGGATAAGTGTCTTCATGATCAAAATAATAATTGTCATATGGCAAGAATCAGAGCTACAACATTTTAACCTAAGATATTATCGTGGAGGTCAAATGAGCAATGTTGTAAAGGAAAGTAGGATTTTCTTTTTCTAATACTGAGAGTGATGAAAGCACTGCTTCAAATTGATTTGGGAATTGTACCCATGTCAAAGGAGACCCATATATGAGAATTTCGAGTACAAAACTCAATTGTCTATCTTTCTAGAGCTTATTCCTCAAAGGAGGAGAGAGCACATTCATTTTTGTTAAAGTAGGATTTATTTCATCAGATAGTTCGCATTGAATGATTGAATGCCTGAACACTATTTTTTAGCTTATTACATTTTGAGTCGTAAAAGGATAAAATTCAGAGGACTAGAACTCCTTGTCAGAATTAAAAAAAAAAATCTGTCTGCACAAAGATCCATCAAACAGTGTATGCACAAATGAACAACTGATAACTCGCGAGAAAAAAAATAGAGGACCAAAATCTTTCCATTACGTGTAAAATTTTTGATGCCACAGACCACGAAGACATGCTTCATGATCAACAATTGCTTCCATACCAGCAAACTTCCTCTTTGGTTTGCACAAAAACCCATGTTTGAGCTACCCATGATTTATAGGATTCCAATCAACAAGAGCTTTCATTCCTGCAAAACTCCTCTATGGCCTACAAACAAACTCATTTTTTTACCACAGAACATTTGAAACCGCCCAACATTTCCAGGATCTTCTCATAGAAAATCCCACAGAATATTTTCAATTAGGTGTACACATCAAAAGGCACGTGAAAATAAATGGATACAGCAACAACCCTCCCAACAACCTAAGATCTTTAGGCTTTGGGCCCGGCACTTCGATTTCAAGCCTTCATTCAAGCGAGTGAAGTCCTGACAGAAGAGCCCTTCCTCGCACGACCGAATGCCACACAATTGCCAAATCTCACAGAAGATGCAACTTTCCCACTAGTCATGCCATTAAATAAAACCCTAAAATCAAACTTGAGGTGATAAAAGAAAACCAGGCATTTAAATACCCCGACAAAGGACCCTCAGGATCACAGTGGAGCATTTACCCGTATAGTCTTGTGGCGTGTCGCATTTAACAGTCACATAGAAGAAAAAACTTTGATATAAAGAAGGGTATTCCACTTTGATATAGAGTGGAATGAAGCAAGTGAATAAAAAAGGGTTCTTCCCCAGTTTTAGAGTATACACGAACAGAACGAGAAGAACGGGGCCTTAGGAAAATAAATAAAGAAACAACCCACGTTAAAAAACCTAAACACGGGTGATTGCCAAGAATGAATCGCCCCACAGTGAGACATTACACCACACGAACGACGCAGGAGAAACAGAAGTCAACTAACTCGTAAAGACACAAGTTAACTATAAGTCAGCAAAGGGTGATGGGAGAGTGAAGAAGCGTAGTGGGAGGGGGCGAGAGAGAGAGAGAGAGAGGGAGAGGGGGAGACCTCGAGGCCAAGACCCTTAATATGCGTATGCGTAGCGATCCTCTGCTTCTTCGTTGTGGACTGCACCTCTTCTATCTTCATAGCCATCTCTCAGCAGCACAACTTCCTCTCTATCGACGGGATGAAGACTTCTCGCAGAACGAGGGAGAACCAGAGACGGAAGAGTGGCAAGAGGCGGCGGGAGAGAAGCAAGCTCCAGCTGTTTACGGCCTTCTGGTTCATAGTCCCTACCTAATAGCGGCCTCTCTGAAAAGAGGGGAGGGGGGGACTCTAACACATTTGCATATTAACCCTCGTGAGAATATTTTTTTCTAATATGTCTTCCTAGCAGTACTCGCTCCCGCCTATCTTCACTGGGCTTCGGGCCATCTCCTTGACAGGCCTTCGCGCTGTCTTTAATATGGGCCTATATTGGGACGATTTGTACTGAGCCGTTGGGCCGTTAGCCTCCATATGGGCCCTGTCAGAGAAAATTGTGATCCCCGTAGCTCATATTGGGCCTTATCGGCCCAATTTGATCCGTACGAGTCGCGTCTGTTCCGATTGGGCTTTCTCGCCGTCCGTCTCTCTACATGCAGTTGAAATTATGACAGAAATTACTCGCAAAGTCAACCGCTCGACTGCCATCAACGCGTGCAATTACGCATTAATCGGTAGAGATTTATTGTCTGGTCGATATCTTCTGCGATTAATGATCTTTGGCGTGCAGCATGAAGGTAGCTCGTCTCTCGCATGTTCCCCGGGGTCCTCTCTCTCTCTCTAGTTCGCTCTTTCTGCCCCTCCAGTCTCCGGCTGCCTTCTGCGACCTATGGTCTCTGAATCCGAAGACAGTTCACACTCACCCGGGAAACGAGGGCCGTGGTGTTAGATCACCGCCGATTTTATCAGCAGTCATCACTCCGACTCTCTCTCTCTCTCTCCGTTCGGGGAGAGAAACCGAGGGCGATGGGGGGCGGATTCACGGGAAGAACAGTGCAAGGAGGAGGGTGACGTGGCCGTCTAATTTCGCATCACTCGTCGCGGTCGGAGTCTTTACTTCAGGGGTGGAGGACGAGATCACACGTGGGTCCTATGAGACCGATTTGACCGACGTCAACAATTCATGGATTCTCGGAGGTCGCGTCACTTCGATCGATATCTCTCTTTCTCTCTCTTTCTCTCTCTTTCTCTCTCTTTCTCTCTCTCTCTCATTCTACGTTGATGGAAATATGAACGAATGAATGTACGGTAAACGCCGAGAGACGAGTCATTAATTGGACATAATACAATCATAGAACACTGCTGACAGATGTTGAAGGTAAGGGCACTATGAACATCTTCCATGCTCACGATGCTCTCCTCGATAGAGAGAGAGAGAGAGAGAGAGGGAGGGAGGGAGGGAGGGAAGGCTCCCCGAGCTTGGCAAGCAGACATGGCGGTGCAACATTGGCTTCCGGCGGACCCACGCCAACTGGAGGTGAATACGGTGGAGACTGTTTAGTCAAATGGACGTCGCGTCTGAATCTGTAAGACTTCTCACGACCAAACCATTCTCTCTCTCTCTCTCTACACAGTAGTTCGATTGATTTCCTCGCTGTAAATGTGATTTGATGCGAGATAGGGCTGGGAGGATGGCAGAGCACGTTGTTTCCTGCGCGGAGAATAATTCGCCGGAAACGCTGCATGATTGGGGGCGCCGGTGGGCTGGCCACAGCTCATTGCACCGACGACCACCGCGTGCGACGGCTCGCCCACCGGCGCCCCCCATTATTACCCCCCTCCCCACTCCTCGCCGCCAGCCGTCCCCCACCCTTTTCCGCGTCCAACAGAACCATACCTCCCTCCCTTAACACGGAGCGAGAGAGAGAGAGAGAGAGTCGACTCAAAGCTCGGTCCTTTATTGCTTGCTTGCCTAACATCTCAAAGTCAACTCAGAAGGTAAAGAACGACGACAGCTTGACCCAGTCCCTGTCCAGGTCCGGACGCAAGCGAGTCCTTACTGACGAGCTGTGACACAAGACAACATCTGCCTCTCTCTCTCCCTCTTGTGATGTAGGTGGAAGAGAGCACACGGATGGCCCAGGGACTGCACCAGGGTCCGACCCGGATCTCTGCTTGGGACAGGGGGGCGGGGGGTTATGAGCGCGCTGGTGGGCCAGCGGGGCCCTCTCCCTCCTGCGAGAAGAAGACAGCCCCTGCCCATCGTCTGCCCTAACGTAGGCCACCCCCCTCGCCGCCGACGCAGCTCTCCCGTGCCAAGCCAGATCTGAAAATCGGGGACGCAGAATCTGAGCCCTCTCTCTCTCTATATATCTATCTATCTATCTATCTCTGCGCACAAGCAGACATAAGACGGCAGGGGTGACTCCAGGGATGGGCCAGCCCGGGCCTCGGGGCGGAGCCCGCCCTCTTGGTGTCCGCCGCAGCACCAAGTCCCCGTGCATGGTAGAAGCTGCCCGGGCCGGAATTGGGCTCGCTCTTGTGAGCCCGGCCCTCGAGATCTCCTCCTGGTGGGTTTTTTTAAAAATTATTTGTTTAATCACGGCTCAGAGAATTCTACGTGACCGCCGGAGGCTCTCTGAACCTGTGGCCTATTATATCAAATACCCTCCTTGTGTAGGCATTTTATATGCGCATCCACGTCTTTCGTATGTTTTTTATTGTTCACCCGGGTGACCCCCGTTTTTTATTCTTCGCCCCGCCCGCTCACGTGACCTTGGTTTTCTGGGTAAATAAAAATGTGACGAGGTTCTTTCCAAAGATGTCCGCTAGGGGGGGGGATTCGTGAAAACATACGCAAATCTGGGTAGCTACGCGCGCAGAGGGAGAAAAGATGCATAAGAAAAATATCATTTTTATGAGCGGAGAAACCCCCCCGGATCACACTTTTTTTAAAAAAGTCAGCTTGGGATTTTCCTCCTCCGACCAGACACGTCAATGCCGGGGGCGTATATGAGCGAATGAGGGCTCCAATCTATGAAAGAGGCTCATTCTGGGCAGAGTAGGCACCCGGAGCTCTGTATCTGTATCTGAGAGAAGAAGCTCAGGGTGGGGTTGGAGAAGAGCTCTCAGGCTTGGAGGGAGGAGAAGCGGCGGCGGCGGCCGGCGGGGGAGGGGGGAGGAGGACGAGGAGCAGGAGGGAAAAGGCTGAGGGAATTTGTTCGTGAAAAACGCCGGGGGAGGAACAGAGAAAATGGAAGGCGAAAAAGCTGCCCCCACGTTCCCCTGCGGCATGCAGGAGTAGGAGTAGTCGTCGTATACATTCACAGTAGTTCATCTTTTCTAAGACATTTAATGCTCCCCAGGAGTTAATGGGTATTCTCGACGACTAGCTGAGAAGGCCCGGGGGAGGGGGGAGTAGCGGAAGAGGGTGTAGGAACCTGGGCTGAAGGGATTTGGTTGTTAGAGCCTCTCTCTCTCTCTCTCTCGCTCTGTGCTGGAACCCGCCGCGGACCGTCTCTCCGGCGATGGGTGGGCGCTGCTCCAAGTGCGGCAGCTGCTGGCGGCGCTCCAAGTTGCAGGACTCGGTCCTTGAGTCCGCCGCCGATCTCGGTAATGATCTCCGGCCAGCTCGCTGTTCTCTCTCCCTCAGCTCGGGGTGCTTAATTTTGGTGGCGGATGTTACAGAGAATGGGGGGACGGTGGCGGACCGGCACGGCGTGCCGGCGTTCGCCGAGTACGGTCTCGAGGAGCTGCGCGCCGCCACGGGGGGCTTCTCCCCGGAGAACATCGTCTCCGAGCACGGCGAGAAGGCCCCCAACGTCGTCTACCGGGGCCGACTCCCCGCCGGCGATCGCGTCGTCGCCGTCAAGCGTTTCAACAAATCCGCCTGGCCCGACGCTCGCCAATTCCTCGTCCGCCCATTACTCTCTCCTCGTCCCTCTCCTTGTACCTCCATTTCTCTTTCTCTCGTCGCTCTTGTGACGGCAATCTGCAACAGGAGGAGGCGAGGAATGTGGGGCAGCTTCGCAGCGAGCGGCTGGCGAACCTCATTGGGTGTTGCTGCGAGGGGGACGAGAGGCTCCTGGTCGCGGAGTTCATGCCCCACGAAACCCTAGCCAAGCACCTCTTCCACTGTGAGTACCCATCCCCGTCGACCTGCCCCGTTTCCCGGCTTCCTCCGGACACTACGCCCTTCGTCTTCTTCGTGCGGTAGTAGCCTGCTGGAGGTAGAACAGGACCAAGGAATCGGTCCTCTCCGGATCTGCCATCGTTGGGCCTCCCCCCTCCCTCCGTTCTCCCGCAGCCAACCAGGGCCGCTGGCTCGGGGGTCTCCTGATCCCCCCGCCGCGCTACCATTCTCTGTGGCCGATGCGGCATTCCATTTGGAGAATGGTCCTCAGGGCGGGCGCCATTGATTCGTTCTGGGTTTCCTCTTCCCTCGACTTCTGTTCGCCTTCCCTGGACCCGGAAACCTGCGGTATATCCAGCCATCAGGTTATGCTACTAGGAATTGGAACCATCTATTTCCACCATCATCTGCTCGGTCGGATCTATTTTCTTTCGTCGGGGACAGAATCAGTGCTCAGATGAGCGCCGATCATCGGAGCTCCCGCTCCGCACAGGAATCCGACTTCTTAGAGCCCCCCGTTCTCTTCCATTCCTCTCCTTGAGCGCTCAGTTCTTCGCAGGGGATACCCAGCCGATGAGATGGTCGATGAGGATCAGAGTGGCGCTGTTCCTGGCGCAGGCCTTGGAGTACTGCGGTGGCAGAGGGCGAGCACTCTACCACGACCTCAACGCCTACAGGGTTCTCTTCGATCAGGTGTCTCATCACCTTCCGACTGTGTCCCGCATCAGTTCATACACAGATATATATATATACAGAGAGAGAGAGAGAGAGAGAGAGAGAGAGAGAGAGAGAGAGAGAGATCTATACGCACTTTTCCGATGATTTTACCTTCCGGGGCGCCATTTCCGACTGTGGTGGGGCTGTTGTCGCCGGCAGGAGGGTAACCCAAGACTGTCGTGCTTCGGGCTGATGAAGAACAGCAGAGATGGGAAAAGCTACAGCACCAATCTGGCTTTCACGCCCCCAGAGTACCTAAGGACAGGTATTTTTCTCGAACACAGAGGAAATTACTCCGACAAGAGACGAAGAACAGCCCCCGGCCGATTCGACTCGGCTTCGAATCCATGCGCTAAAGGATCTCTGGAGCTCATCTGGTAATTTTCTTGGCCGAATTTGGCAGGAAGGGTGACGGCGGAGAGCGTCGTCTACAGCTTCGGCACTCTGTTGCTCGACCTCCTCACCGGAAAACACATTCCCCCGAGCCACGTACGATCCGATCTTCCCCCGAACATCGTTTCCTCATCGGAGATTTCTGAGCCGTCCTGCTTTTTTTATGAACCCAACCATCTTCCGTCCCCCGGGGGGCTGCGATTTCCTGGCGCGAGATCGTCGTCTTCTCACGATTCTCGTTCTCGCAGGCGCTCGACGTGATCCGCGGGAAGAACTTCCTGGTCCTGATGGATTCCTGCCTGGAGGGCCACTTCTCCAACGAGGACGGCGCCGAGCTGGTGCGACTGGCCTCTCGCTGCCTGCAGTACGAGCCTCGCGAGAGACCCAACGCCAGGTCCCTCTCCATCGCCCTCGCCCTGCTCCAGAAGGAAACCGAGGTGAGTGAAGCCCGACTAGCATCTTCTTCTTCTTCCCGGCTGAGAATTCTTCACCCCTGCACCAGCCTTTAAACCTTTCGCCGCCGTCCTCTTCTTCCTCCTCGTTTCTGAGCAGGTGGCGTCGAGCGTTCTGATGGGCATCCCCCTCAGAGGCCCTTCTTCCGACGATGCCCAGTCGTTGGCGTTGACCCCTCTCGGGGAGGCCTGCTCGAGGATGGACCTCACGGCCATCCACGAGCTGCTGGAGAAGACCGGCTACAAAGACGACGAAGGGATAGCGAACGAGGTGGGAAGCAGATTGTCGTCTGCTTTTTTCTCTCTTGGGGAGGAATTTGCGATTCTTCCTTCCTTCCGGCCTGACGGACGCGATTCTTCTTGGGAATCGCCTCATTCCGCAGCTCTCGTTCCAGGCGTGGACCGGGCAGATGCAGGAGACCCTGAACTCGAAGAAGCTCGGAGACAGCGCCTTCAGGAACAGAGATTTCGACGCCGCCATCGACTGGTACACCCAGGTCTGCCTCTCAATCCCAGGTCTTCCTTCCTTCCGCCACCTGCGCATGAGCCTGCCGACTGACGGAGTTGGTCCTCACGGCGGGGCCTTTGCAGTTCATCGACGGGGGGACGATGGTCTCTCCGACGGTGTTCGCCCGGCGGTGCCTCTGCTACCTGATGGCCGATAGGTTGCAGGAGGCCCTCGGAGACGCGATGCAGGCACAAGTGATCTCGCCGGAGTGGCCCACCGCCTTCTACCTCCAGGCGGCGGCGCTGCTCTCCCTCGGGATGGACAGCGACGCGCAGGAAACCCTCAAGGACGGCACCGCCATGGAAGAAGGCCGGAGGCCTCGCAGACTCTAAAAATTTGTATAGCTTTTCGTCTCCTCTGCTTCTTCCTCCTCATCCGGGGGACGGGAAGGGAGGGTCTTCGTGTATTTACTTCCCGGAGGACGAACGCAGCTTTTTCAGCTCCGCCCAACTAGAATCTTCCTTGAATATATCATTCTTTTCCTCATCTGGATTCATCTATCATCACCTTATCCTCTCTTAGAGAGAGAGAGAGAGAGAGAGAGAGAGAGAGGATCTCTCCGAGCAGCTGCCGGAAACCAGAACTAGCCGAAGGAGAGGCTGTCTATTTAGTGAGGAGGAGACCACAAGCCCGGCGCAACATCTTTCGACGGCGAAAGACGGCAGAGGAGAGAAGACCAGGGAGAGAAAAGAAAGGGGGTATTTACAGAGCCGACAAAGAATCGTGATGAAGAGGAGGAGCTTCCATGGATCTTCCTCCGTCGTAGGGCCTTCCTTCTACAGGGTTGCTGAAGGTCAGCCGGGTCCGTTGAAGTGAAAGAGCCAGGAGATGACGAAGGCGAACACCATGCAGGCGAGGAGGAAGTTGACGAAGCGGTGCCCGCGCCAGAACCTCTGCTGCTCCGCCGCCGGTGCAGGCGGCGAGCCGTCGCTCGTCTCGTTCCCTTGCTCCATGAACTCGCCTGCAACATTCCTCGCCGCCGCCCCGCAGATCTCGCAGGTCCTGGAACAAGTACAGATGAACACCCGCAGATGTTCATACAGAAGAATCACGAGAGAGAGAACACACTCGAGCTTCGGAACTTGAGAAGAACGAGCATCATGCTCAAAAAATATCTTCTTTTTTTTTTTGCTTCAAAGGGGAGTGAATCCTCCTTGCTCGTGTTCTTGAGAGCAAGAAAAAAAATAAAACCCCGTCGTCACAAAAATGCATCGAAAAGAAGCAGCAGGTGAATGGAGATGGCGGAGTTGACGAGAGCCATCGAAGAAGCAATTATGAACGCAATCTGATGGAAAAGAATCGAAATCAGAATGTTTTTTGGTTTCACCTGTTGCCTCTGATTTTGAACCAGGTCTCGGCACACTCCTTGTGAGCTGCCGCTAGATCGCCCTTGCAGGAACAACCCAGTTCAATGGGAATCCCCGATTCCGGAGAACCGCCCACCAATTTCATGTGGCAAATTCGGCAGTCCTTGTCCGGTTTACCCGCCTTGATCTTCTTCTCCGGAGACCCGTTCTCCAGGTCGATGATCTCGACGGAGGAGGAGTCGTCAGAGACGCAGGAGCTCCGGTAGGGTTCCGGGGCGCCGCCGCCGCCGCTTCCCTCGTGAGCAGACGCAGGAGCTCCGCAGGAGAGCTGCAGATCATCACGCGACGAGGCTTCGCCGTGCGAACGGCGCGACCGATCGTCTGCATCGGAGAAACCGACGCTCCGATCGTTCTTGCCGGCTGCCGGAGAAGCAGAACTCCGTACCCCTGCTCCCGACTCGATGTCTTCTTCGTGGGCCTTTTCCCCTCCTTTGGTCGCCATCTCCGCGGAGATCAGGGCGGCGAAAATCAACCCCCGAAGTGGATGCGAATTTCCCTTCAGGAGGATGGACTTGGGGAAAATATCGTCACCCCCATGGAGGTCGCAAGGGAGGTTGCCCTCGGCTTCGCAGAGGCGGCAGCGAGAGGGCCGAGAACCATCAGATTATGATGCAAGAACCAGACGAGACATCTTTTCTGCAGCTGCGGCGCTGGAAACCGACAGGAGGAGGATACGCGGAATTCAGGAAGGAGGAAGAGAGCTGAACGGGGTGCTCCAAAAGGCAGGGTTCGGAGTGGCAGGGGGGATCGAGGGCAGGAAGGAGGCTCCGAGGCCGGAAAACGGACGGAAATGCCGAGGAGCCGCCGTAGCTGTCGTCTCCGACGACTGTGATCAAATTGCAGAGCCAGTCCGGGGAAACCCAGATCCGAAAACGCGATCGAAGACTAAAGAGATGCCCCGTTCAACCTCAGCCGGGGAGGACAAGGGAGAGATCAATAGGGAGGGTTGAGACCAGAGAACGATGGGTCAGAGGAGAGGAAGGGTGTGGATGGAGGGATTCACAGAGAGAGAGAGAGAGAGACTGGGGAAGACTGGGGAGGGGACAAGCATCACTGTTTTATAGTGGTGAGGAAGCAGCGGTGCCGCCACCTCCACGGTGCCAGCAAGCGAAGCGACTCGACGGTAGATATGCATAGACAGTCGTGCGTCCTCGGATTACCACCGCCACCGGCACCAGCACCAGGTCTCTCCGATGGGCTCCTCCCCCACCCGCCCTCCATTCTCATCCCCATCCCCATCCCCATCTCCATCTCCATCTCCATCTCCATCCCCATCTAGCTATTATTATTCTATCACCGGATTACGCCGCGAAAAAAATTTAAACGGAGGACGAGGTGGGTTCCTCCCACCCTCCCCCTCAGACCTTGCTCTCGATCTGGTCAATACCCTCAGCTGGTGAAGTCAACTACCGTGGGCGGCGGCTCCCCCCCGGGAAAAATCTGCCCGGACAAGCGAGCACTGCGGGGACCCTCGATCCTCACCCCTCCCTTGGACGGAAGATACCGACAGAACTGTTCTGTCGAATAATAACGACAGAGGAGAACTCGGATCTCAAGAACAGCAAGCCGCGCCATCGTCGCACGGAAATTGACTGCTGCTTGGAAATTTTCTTTTCTTGGACGGAGTCGTCGAAATTTATGTTCCGAAGAATGTTTTACGTCCGTATTGCCCCCACCTCAACCACCCCCCCTGCGTTCTGCGCTGGAATCCGTCCAACTCATGGCCGTCGCGCAAGTCGGAAGATTTAAGTAGTCGCTGCCCGGATCGGCCGCAGAGGTCTTCCATGGTTTGACGAGAGCGTTCGCAGAGGAGGATAAGATCACTTCTCCCGCTTACGGGGAAGAAATCCATTCCTCCCTCCTCGGGCTGGTGTGAACGGCCGATCCCGTAAGAACGCCGCCGTTAGATCTGGTTTGACTTTTCGCGGTCGTTTGAGGCCCGAAAGTTGTTTTATTCTGCAGCAGCGGTCGCGTCGGCTTCCAATCCACCAGCAGGCCAAACAAAAACAGGAGAAAAAAAAGAAGAAAATAACTCTTTTTAACCCATAAGAGAAGAAGCTCTCCGCCGTTGACTGTGAGAGCCGGCCGGGGCGACCAGGGGATTGCGGCAGATGATCATCGGAGACTAGACCCGGGTCACCTGATTCAAGCATTCACTATACGAAGCATCCAAAGAACGTTAAGAGACTGGTACTAAATCTGCTCCTAGATCCCCTTCCCACGATCAGGCGAGGGAGGGCAGCGGCAGACAGAGGCGGGATTTCTGCGCAGGAGAAACTCGCTAACCCAACCCGGCTGCCATTGTATCGCCAAAAGAGTAGAGATCTTCCTCCTCCTCCGTGCTCATAAACCCCTGCTCTTCTTCTTCTTCTTCACCTGTCCCGTTTGCTTACTTCACCTCGACATGGTCCACTGAAGTGAGGATTCGAGGACTTTGGCATTGTCCCCCTCCAGGCCGCTCTTCAGCCAGGCAACGTAGCTCAAGTCTGTGGCGATGGAGACCAGCTGGCGGCCGGAGACGGGCGGATGCTCGAGGAATTCTACGAACTCGGGGCCCAACAGGGAGGAGGAACTCCCAGAACCGTGCCCATTCAGAGCTCCGCAGCAGCCGTGCCCACACTGAGACGAAACCCGGTGCTCGCCGCTGGCTCCATGGCGGCGTCTGGACGATGGTTGGGTCGGAGGCGCGGGGCTGCTGCTGCTGCATGGCGCATGCGGTCTCTGCAGTTGCGAGCCGCTCGGGCCGTCGGCGAGAGGCTTGTAGAGGCCGAAGGCGCTGACTCTTGCAATGGGCCGGAATATATTTGGTGGCTCCCTTGCTTCTTCGCCCGCATATTGATCGTCTATGACTTTGCCCTTGTCGTCGGATTGCCCAGACCCAGAGAGGTTTTCCTGTGAACCAGCGCATCTACCTTCCGAAGGAGACCTGTTAGCACCACTGCCACTGCCACTGCCACTGCCGCCGGCGCCGGCGCCGCCGCCGGAGAAGTTATCCTCCGAAGACCCCTTGCTCTTCTCGGCGCTGACGTCGTCGACAGCCGCGGAGTTTAACGGCTTGGACTCACCAACCTCCAGGCACCGGCGCTTCAGAGTGGAATTCCAGTGGTTCTTTATTGCGTTGTCGGTTCTCCCTTCCAGGAGCCTCGCTATCGCCGCCCATTTGTTGCCGTGGACCGCGTGGGCAGCCAGTATAATCCGGTCTTCCGCCTCTGCAACAAATAAACCGAATTCTCAGCGTCATCAGCCCGAAGGAGCTCGCCAATCGCCGATCATCAGTCCATTTCACAAAGAAGAAAAATGGACTGCCAGAAAATAAAAGAAATTGAACAAGGAGGAAAATAAAAGAGGCAGGAAGCAAATGAACATCCACCCTAGGAAAGGGAGGGATGGCTCGGCATTAAAAAAAAAAAAAAAAAAATTGATCTGGGCTTGGAATCCGATTATTGAAAATGCTATCAAAATTAGGGGTATAAATCAAGCAAAACATGCGAAAGGAAAAACCCAATTAAAATATATTGATTTTCCTATCATGGGCGAAATAAGAATACGACGAGCAGGGCCGAAATAAGCAGCTTCACTGCTCCTTTCCTTTGTTTAACCATACCAGAAAAGTGAAAAACATGCGGAAGGAAGGATATTCTGGTCGGATTCCGTCAAGTACGCGGGACTTTGCATGGTACGGATTTCTGCATGTAGCCCTGGATGGTACTGTCCTCGTTCACTCTCTTCATAATTTTGCATGGTATGTCCTAGAAAAGTCATACATAGTCTTCCAACCTACAGAGACTAGGGTTTTATTTTCCTTTATCCAATCTTCAATGAAGGAACTCAAGTGTGAAGAAGCTGTACACAAAATGGTATTGGTCTCCGTAGCTCGACCTATATGCAATTCACATAATGAGGAGGAACTTGCATGATCTTTGGCGAACAAAATTACAGACTTGATCACATGAAAGTCTCGATTATATTGGAATAATAACATAAGTTTCACGGGCCCTTAGCCCTAACAGATGGTTGCAAGTCTGGCAGCAAACCAGCCAAATTCAGCATAAGATCAAGGTACGTCGATTGAGACCCAATTTAGTTTTCCGTTCCAAACTATATAGGGAGGGGATCCTCCTTGATACCATCAAGTAATGAGCATATAAAACTTTTTTAGAACAAAATGGCTAATTTTCAAATGTATATCACAAATGTTTCAATTTCTTCATTCATACTTAAACCCTGATACTAGTGTCTTGTAATCACTCTTTTTTTTAACCTATCACTACGTATATTTATTTTACCACAGAAACTGAAAAAAGTGCTATGATGATGAACAATCGTTTAGCCAGGTAGCCTTAGCATGATGAACGTTCTCCATGCTACTAGACTGATGAAAAAAACTGCCACAAGAAATTTCCAGGAAAACCAAAATAATGAATCGACACAAACATTTCAATCCTGACATGTCAACAGGCACACAAACATTTAACAAGGTACAGCTCAAGGGAATCTAATTCAGGATCCCCAGTGGGTAACTAAGGAAAATTCATTTCATCGTCAAGTTCTACGAACTTTGACAAGAAAACAGAAATAAATGCTGCGGCAATAGGTTATAAAAGTCTCCAGCATGATGTCTGAGAAGATTCTCTCCACAAGATTCTTGAGAATCCACTAGCACAGAAGATTTTACCCATCTCATCAAAAAACGTTTTGCTAGAATATCTGCAGGTGGCGAATACTCCAATGCTATGCTGGAAGAATTTTCTTCTTCCAAAACCATAAGAAATCTTTTTTCCTCGACAACATGGGACTGTCATAAGACACATGCTTCAACTAGTCTTCCCGAAAACCGATTCAGACAAAGTTTAGATCTATATCTTTGGATTCAGTAGTTTTTTCGTCGATGAAAGGAAATAGGAAAAAAAAATCTTACCTGTTCTCAAGCTTTGTGCAAAATCTTGTGTTATACACGAATTGTGCTTCAAAACTACAACTTATTTAGACATATTTTATCTTTAGATGATGAGGAATCGTTTGCATGAAAACTTATAATCTTCGTACAATATAGAATTCAATTATTAGAAAATAAAGCTTAAAAGAATATTCTGGATGACATAAAAACACAAGACATACATAATACAGGCTAAAAAATACAATCATATCATAGTCAACCAAAAACCATGCCAAGTGCATTACTGTAGTAATAATAGAGACAAACTTTGCCAACACATTTCATTAACTATCAAGGATTAGTCACAAATGCTACTTTTTTCCTATAAACGAATAAACCTTAAATCTGCTGTCCAAATAAATCCCTGGTTACAAGCATCATAGGTTCACGAAGCCTAATTGCTCCATTCACTCTCTCGTTATTAATATTACCTTTTCCTGCATTTTATTCATCACTCTCCTGAAAGTTTAAAATAAATACGGAATTACACGAAGAAGAACCACCACATGGCATGTCAAGATATATTACTACAGGAGACAATTAGTAACGTCTAGACGCACAGCTGGAAGGGATATATCACTACAAAAATTACTTGTCCATGGTGCTTCATTGTCAAACTGACGACACATGCAAGCTTCAGATGGCAATGTTAGACCATCATTTTGTCGGAGGGCTTCAAAACAACTGTTTGATAAACAAGGCTTTAACTGAACAGATACAATTTTGAAACTGACAGACAACTGTTTGTTCACATTAGTCTTTGACTATTTCAGATCGAACCTTTTAAACAACCATGACACTTCAAATTTAGATGGAACTTTAAAAGCCTCCATTCATCTTCTCCATATGTTTCAGTATGTTCTTGTCATTCACCTTCGAATTTACATCAAATACATGAAGTCAATGACAACCATTTCTATTAAGTTAATAATATTTTTAATTCAACAAAAAAAAGTAGAAATAACTTACAACTTTCACACACGCTTATATGACCATAGGAAAACCAGTGGTCCATGATTTTCATGACTACACAGATGGAAACCAGAACTTGCTAAATTCTATTTTTTTAGGATTATTGCTTTGTATGATGATTTTGTATCTTTGTTTGCCTTTAGGAGATAACGGAAGAGATCAAGATCAGATTCTGATGAAAATACCAACTTCATAACCACAGCCTTAGTAGAAGACATATAAAAGAGACGTGCAACGCGTAGATACATTATTAGCTTGCCCTTGTCGATTTTTCCAGTAGGATCTCCACTGAAATATACATCAAACAAGGAAAGAACGTGGAATTCCAACAAATGGACACCATAACTTAAGCCAAAACATAAGCAGCCAAGATCGGACGACAACATTGTAAAAGACCCTACTAACTGGTTAATGGAAAAAGGAACACCGACTCAGTAGATTACACTTCAACAAACATCATAAATGTAAAATACGGGATAATGAATTGATAAAGGTGGAAGGAAAAGTATTTTATCACCACTTGCAAGAGGAAGAAAACCCAGAATTAAAAAAGCAGCACTAAAAAAGAAAGCAGTATGAGCAAAGTGTCCTCCAGAACTAACCTCATAATATACGAGATTATAAATGAAAAAAACCAAAAACCTGACAGGAAATTAGGTATGTAGATCTATCAAAGGCAGAGATAAAGTGAAGAAATTTAAACTGAGCATTTCAATCATTTTTTTGCTTTCTTATGACAAGGAAGAACTGCACTTCATCTGAGAATCTCTAGTCTCCATTTTGTGCCTGGATCTTTTTGTTATTTCCAAATGTGCAGTTTTCTTGTCCAATTTCATGTTTCCCTCAGTGTTACTTCAAATTGCGCCATGCATTGGATTTAAATGAAACGTTCAATGTCTACGGTGAATTCCATTCCTCACCAGATCTTACACAGACGATTTTGTCTCAAATGACTCTGGATGAAGAGGTGAACAGCTAGATTTAGGCTTACAATAGTTTTTCCTCAAACTGAATCAAGTATTCTGCGTGAACATCAAACACTCTCCTCTGTGAAAAATACCACGTTCACCAAAAGAACTTACTTTGTCGTCAAACAACGTCGATTAAACCCTAATCAGAGCCACAGTGTTCTCACTAGTACCATGCTCTAAATAAATCAAGATGCATCAGAAGAAGCACAGAATCAACGTATCCCCGTTTCATGAAGAAAATAGACCCGAAACCACAGTCCCCAGACCGTGCCGCTCATCTTCCGCAAATATGCTTCATTTCAGAAAACCCCAAACCGTGGGAAGCACCGCCGAAGTCACGGAAAACGCCTCCAAGAAAACGAGAAGACGTTCGTATTCAGGCTGCATTAAAGAGTCAGAGGGGCTATATTGTCTAAAAGTGATACCAGTGAAGGGCCTGCGTTTCACGCTTGGATCGAGCTGGTTGCACCACCGAAGTCGGCACGATTTACCGGAGCGCCCGGGAATCCCCCTCGCGATGAGGCTCCAGTTCCTCGCCCCGAACTTGTTCACCAGTCGGCTAAGTATTGCATCCTCCTCCGGCGACCACGGCCCCTTCACCCGATCCTCTGCCGTCCCGGCCCCTCCAAAACAACCCCGTGGCGCCCCATGCTCCTCAGTGGCACCTTCGACACATCCACTCGCTTCCGGCTGCTGCGAAGGCGATGCACCGCCGGATTCTACCGGTGAGGCGGCGACCTCCCCGGCAGTAACTGCCCCCATCCTCCTTATCGCCCCCTCCACCTCCTCCTCTACAGCCCCGGCGTCCTGCTCTCTCCCCGTCCTTCCCTCTTGCTCTCTTTTTCTCTCTCTAAACGTCCCTACCCGCCGCCTAACTGCAATTGGCTCCTCCGGTGACAGGTTTAAAGAGCAGAGTTCCGGGAACGTCCTTATTTACGTTGAAACCCCTATCATTTCCCATAATGACGGATTCATCCTACACTTTCAAATTTTACAAATACCGCTACAGTTTTTTTGTCTTCTGGGGGCTCTGTCGGCCTCGTGCCTTTCTCCCGTCCTGAAACTGGCCCACTTGGCCTAACAACCATTGGGCCCCTAGCCGTATAATGGCTTGTCAATGGGCCACCAGCTCAGCCCCGTGCGGCCCACCTTCCTTCCGATACATTCGAACTGCGATTGGGCCGCCACTGTCACATGGGCCAGTAGCTGACCCAATCGGAACTGGGCCACGAAAGATCAGACGTGGACTGGGCCGGGAGGTATTGATATAGAATAAAGTCAAACAGGCGGCGGCCACGAGTGCATCTACTGCGGCTCCTGTCTACTTTGCTCTCACCGAAACACGTGGTGTCTGAGAGGTAGGAAGAGCCGCCACGTCGGACCACGTTGCACCCCCTCCCCAAACTTTTCGGTGAGTGCAAGACGTTTGGAGGCTTCTCTTCCCCGGAAGGTCGTCGATCACAACGAGCCAGGAGTCGTTGGGCGAGCGCTACCTTCCAACCACCGTCCCACCCCTTGTGAAAGTGTGGGAGGGCTCCTCACCTGCCTTTTGGCAGAGACCTCCGATCTCTCCCCATGATCGGAGAGAGAGAGAGAGAGGAAGGGAGGGAGCGATGCCATCTCGCTCCACCAACCCGCCGACAACGACACTCCTGAATCCAACCCCTCTCGCAGTCCAAAGTGAGATTCAGTGGACCTCCTCTTACGGAGCGAGAGGATAGAAAGAGACCAAACAGAGGGGGTACAGTGTGCGGGTTCAGATCTTTTTTGACGTGTTCGCCTCCGGCATGGTGATTGTGTGACGAGCATGCTGCGATCAATCAGGAGAAAGACGGGCTCCCTTCTGGCGGGCACTGGTCTCGGATCTCACCCCATGGTCGCGAAGCCTCCCCGTGAGCGAGGGCGAGGGGTTTCTCCTCGTAGACTCGGACAGAGAGTGGATCTGGTAGAAGCTCTCCTCATTCGACCGCGATGCGCACACAGAGGAGATCACCGGTCCGATGGCGGCTGCTGCTTCTCTGCTTCGTACAGCTCAGAGTTCAATGTTCCCCGGCGAGCGAGAGGCGGTGTGTCGTCGCATTTTTCTTTATATCTCTGCCGTTCCACGGTTCTCTCATTTATCTCGGATAACGCTGCTAGTAACTCGGAAGCCTCCCACCAAACTAAATGTATAAAGAAAAATTGACATCCCACCGAATTCTGTCGACATCCCACCAAACTAAATGTATAAATATAAATATAAATATAAATATAAATATAAATATAAATATAAATATAAAATATATTTATATTTAGATCTCCCTCCCAAAGGAGTGACCCTACGTCCTTCCGAGTCTCATTCTATATAAATATAAGTGGCAACTCCATACTGAAGCACAAGGGTTCGCCTCCTCTTCCACGGGCATGGCGCGCTTCCTCTTCGTCGCCTGCACTCTCCTACTCGTCTCTGCAGTCGCTCGGGCGGGGATCGTCAAGTACACATTCAATGTGTGTAATGATGCCCATTTAATATCTTCTTCTTCTTCTGCTTCTTCTTCTCGTCTGGCTCTCATGTGCTCGCTCGTGTCGATTCGTTGAGGTCATGGAGTGATGACTTGAACTGGTTCTGCAACTCCAGGTTTCTGAGATGAAGATCCGGAGGCTGTGCCAAGAGAGGACAATCGTGACCGTGAACGGGCTCTTCCCGGGGCCGACCATCAATGCCCGGGAGGGCGATGCCGTCGTCATCCGCGTCGTCAACCAGTCCCCGTATAACATGAGCATCCACTGGTAGTTGATCTGATCTCGCCATGAAACAGAGTTCACCGAAATCTGTCCGAGCTCTCATCTGACGATTGTGGCTCGTCGGCCAGGCACGGGATATTCCAACTCCTGAGCGGCTGGGCAGACGGCCCGAGTTACGTGACGCAGTGCCCGATCCGCCCCGGAAACAGCTACACCTACAGGTTCAAGATCGTAGGCCAGGAGGGCACCCTCTGGTGGCACGCCCACGTCTCCTTCCTCCGGGCCACTGTCCACGGCGCCCTCATAATTTTGCCCAGGGCCGGCACCAAGGCCTACCCCTTCCCCAAGCCCTACAGGGAGGTCCCCATCCTTCTCGGTGCGTCGTATTCGAACGAACTCGCCCTCGCTGACAACATAAACCTACGCTCCTAGAGAGTTTGACAGACTCGAGGTATGTAGGTGCATTATCGATAAAACACGGGTTCCTCAACGGTCAAAGTGTCTTGCTTCTTCAGGAGAGTGGTGGAACGCCAACGTTGTGGACGTCGAGGATGAAGCCCTCACCACCGGCCGCAGCGCGAACATTTCCGACGCCTTCACCATCAACGGCAGCCCCGGCGACCTCTACCCTTGCTCCAGCGACCGTGAGTCGCCTGACTGAGACGATTAAATAGCTAAACCTCCTTGAGTTTCTTGTGGGAGGGGGGGCGGGGAGGTCAATGGTGAAGAAAAAAGCTCGCGTTTTTTTGCCTTTCTCAGATACCTTTAAACTCGCGGTGCTTCCGGGGAAGACGTACCTGCTGAGGATCATCAACTCTGCACTCAATTCTCAGCTCTTCTTCAAGATCGCTGGGCACTCCCTCACGGTGGTCGCCATCGACGCTGCCTACACCACCCCGTACCGCACCGAGGTGGTGGTGCTCGCCCCCGGGCAGACCATCGACGCCCTGCTGGCCGCCGACGCACCGCCCGCCTGCTACTACATGGCGGCCAACGCCTACGACTCCTTGCAGATCGTGCCCTTCGACAACACGACGACCACCGGAATCCTCTATTACGCGTCGGCGGGGCTCCCGTCGTCTCCCCCCGTGATGCCCCTCATGCCGGCCTTCAACGACACACCCACAGCTCACCGCTTCTACAGCAACCTCACTGGGCTCCTCTACAAGGGCACGCCGCCGGTTCCCCTGCAGGTGGACGAGAGGATGTTCATCACCATAGGGATGAACCTCGTCCCCTGCGACCACGGCGGCGCCGGCTGCCTCGGGCCCTTTGGGGAGAAGTTCGCTGCCAGCATGAACAACGTATCCTTCCAGCTTCCCTCGAAGATGTCGCTGCTGCAGGCGCACTTCTCAGGGGTCCCGGGGATCTACACGCTGGACTTCCCAGACCGCCCCCCGGCGGCCTTCGACTACAGCAACCGTGAGCTTCAGAAGAACCTGGAGCTGCTGCAAACGGCCAAGGCGACAAGGGTGAAGCGGCTCAAGTACAACTCCACGATGGAGATCGCGTTTCAGAACACGGCCTTGCTGGGGGCGGAGAGCCACCCGGTGCACCTCCACGGCTTCAACTTCTTCGTCCTGGCGCAGGGCTTCGGCAACTACGATCCGGCCGAGGCGGAGAAGCTCTTCAACCTGGTGCACCCCCAGGTGCGCAACACCATCGCCGTCCCCGTCGCTGGCTGGGCCGTCATCCGCTTCGTCGCCAACAACCCCGGTGAGCCCTTTTCCTTCCCCAAGCTCGCAAGGAAGCTCGGGGAGACGACTTTCCTGTTTGACTTGCTCTCTCTCTCTCTCTCTCTTTCTCTCTCTCTCTTCACCACAGGTGTGTGGGTAATGCACTGCCACCTCGACACACATCTTCCCTACGGATTGGCGACGGTCTTTTTAGTGGAGAACGGGCCCACCGCCGCCTCCACTCTGCCGCCGCCGCCAAAGGACCTTCCCCGCTGCTAGGAACGATGGCAGCTGTCTCGGCGGCCTCCCTTTCTTAGCTAGATGCCAATATTTTTTGAGAGACATTTCCCGTGAAATCATCGTTTCTGATCTATTAGAATATTCCATTATCCTCCTCCTTACGTTGCTGGAGTCGCCATCTCGACCCACCGCCGCCCCCGAACGCCTGGTAAATTCGCGCGCCGTCATTGCTCCGCCGCCGTCACTTTCGAGAGGGCGCAGAGAGCCCGCTGCCGCTCTCCACCAGCGAGCGGCAGCGCAGAATTGCAAGAGCCCCCACAGTCTACGGGCGAAGAAGACGAGGAGGGATGAGTGGAATTGCCATCATTTTATCGGTGTAGTTAGGGGCTTTTGGGGTAGTTTATTCCGTGCCATTAAGTAGAAATTAGATGACGTTCGCGCATACCCGTTTGTATAAGTTCTCTGCAGGCGGGGGATGGACGCCTCGACGGCGTGGATTCCGTGAGTCTCATCCTACCCCGTGAATCTCCTCCACCAGTTCCGTGGTCCCAAGGGTTCTACTACCATCAGCGCTGCGAAATTGGCACAGCAAGTTTCCTCTCTCTCTCTCTCTCTCTCTCTCTCTCTCTCTAGCCCACCCAGCATCCCGTGCACTCTCTCTCTCTCCTCTCTCTATCTCGCTGGAAGAAGAGAGTTGAGAATAGAGTTTCAGTGGGAGAGAATGGCTGAAGAGAAGGGAGGTCGATCACCGCCTCGCGGCGGAGGGGAGGGTCAGGAGGCGGAGGAGCCGGCGAAGACCGTCTATTTCGTCCCCATATATGCGGTCGCCATAGTAGATCCCAATAAGCACGGTTAGTTTCACTTTTTCTTGGTATAATCCCTCAGGAGTCTCTCCTCAGATGCGTTTTTGGGATTCCGCTTTGAAGTGTGTGGGAATTTTCCTTTTCTCCCTTCCGTGCTTGTTCCGTATGTAACAGGCTTTTCGGGTTACCGGAGGATTTGGATGGTCCATTGTAGACATTGATCTGCCGCTGTTTCCGGGATCATTGGAGACAAAGCTCGTCTAGAATCACATCATCTGAAAGCTTTTGGGACCCCGTGGAGATATCACAGAGAACATCTTAGGGTTTGGCGTTGCGATTTGTCTTCTTCCGAATTAGTGAAGGCTTTACATTCCTCAAACGACGGAAGACCTCCCCAGTCCCTTAATTGGGATCTCTTTCCGAATTAGGGTTTTTCCCATGTTTCAGTTCTTGACTTCTTGCCAACCCTTTGCTTGTAAATAGTGATGTTGTCGAATTAACTATAGATTATTTTATGACTATCCTCTGTTAACCAATCCCGAAATGTTTTTTTTCTGAATTTCAGTAGCAAAAGGTCGTCTATCACCGGACGACCAGCGACAAGGGAGTGTATGTAGCAGTGAGAGTGTTGGAGCTAGCCAATTAGTTTCTCCCCGTAAAGGTATTAGAGGTAAAGCGACAGAACCTGAAGTCGCTGTTCAGCAGAAGAGGCAGAAGCTTATTGTAATGAGGAAAAGGGGTAGAATCCCAGAGTACGACGATGATGATCCCCACAAGCCTACACCCAAGAGGTGGCCAGTTTTTTTTACGTTGGCTTCTCCTTTTTGAGCAGTTATTTATTCTTCCTATGCTTAAATAAAAAGATCTCTCATGTTAGTTTTTGCTTGGCTCATGGACTAGGTTGAGGAATAGAATGAAGGCTCAGAAATCGAGGGATAAAAAGAAGGCTTATATGACTGCATTGGAGAGCAAGGTGAAAGAACTAGGGAAGATGAACTCAGAACTTGAAGAGAGGTGCCTTGCTCTGCAGATTGAAAATGAGTCAATGAAAAATGTGAGTACCGTTTCCTTGTAATCACCTGGGGACTCTTTCACTAGAAGGCACCTCATGGAGCTTATATCATGATTCACAAGGGAGATTTTGAGATCTCTTTCTGGTGTTTTATGGAATTCACTTTTCGACACAGTTATTATTTTGGGAATTTTTTATGACTTGAGGCAAGAACAAGGTTCGATTTCTCTCTGAGATTACGGGTACCTTATATAAGTTGGATAAGTTATTGAAAAATTGGTATTGTTTAAACTTCAAAAGTTACGCAGGTCATATAGTTGTCCGTGAACCTTGTCTAAATATTGATAGAAAAAAATAGTTCTCCTGAAGACATGCCATTCAAAATCGGTGGTCTGTATTAAATCTATACATTACTAAGAGCCTTTTCACTATCAACCCAGTAATGATCTTATGGTTGCCATGCATCTTTAGGGCTCCCAAAAGCAGGTTATGTGCATATCTTTTTCAATTGATTTGACTGTCATTTATAGAAACATATTATGATTTGGTTGTTACCTTTTATTGACGTTTCAAATCTGTCACATTTCATGCTTGATTAAATCTTTCATCTAATATCTCCTGTCGTTGGCTCAGTGTACTATTTTGTTAACTGATAATAGTTTAATGCTCTCCAAAAGTGTGTCATTAGATCTTTGAGTTTGTTTTCTGCTCAATTTCATAATTTTGCATGTGCCTTCGGTATTTTGTGAGAGATTGTGTGTGAACTGGCTGAAAATGTTATGGCGCAGAGCATTGAAAGTTCCTCAGTGATGCCCCCTTACAACTATTCCTAATTTGAGAGCCACGTTAATAGTTGTGCTCCATGTGAACTAAGATAGTTTTGTAGTTTAGGCCGGGAGAGACAGGGTTGGGGTAAGTGGGTATTCATTTTTTATTTTATTTTTTCCTCATGGCAATTTTATATTTCGGATTTGGGCAATATCTTCTTCAGGTAACGCAAAAGTCAGACGTAACCATTTTGTTAAAAACATTTGTTACGGGGTCATGTGTACCATGCTGGCAAAGTTCAAAATAAAGAGGTTTTTATTGAAGATGATGAGCTTCAGTTGTACTGGATGTGGGTTATAATTCAGTTATCAGTGTGGTAGAAAATGATTCTGCCTTTTCTTCTGGCTCTTTCCTCTCTTTTCCGTCTGAGGATCTGTCTAAATTTTACTCTTTCACGGGTTCTTTTAAGTTCTTCCTCCTTGCTCCCCTTTCCTACTTGTGCAATGGGGATACCTTTTTCAGCCTCCTGTTTTCATAATGGGAGACGGCTGCTCGTATGCTCTTGGGTAGGGCCACCGGTCATAATTCCCATTTTGCAAGATTTTGCTGGCCTCCCCAGTTTCGGAAGGGTCATGGGTGGTTTCAAAGGTCACTGGCAGGTCGCCTTCTGGGATGGCAGCAGCCTTCCCATTTCCTCTGGGTTGTTGCCGGCCACCCTCTCCCGGGGAACAGCACCGGTGATAGCTTCTCGTGTCTATACTGACCTTGCCCTTGAGAAGACCAGTGATGGATGGTTCTATAATGATGGTTACTGCGCTTTTAGGACTGGGGGCAGTGGGTGCTATTTGTGGCCCATTCCATTGTGTGATGTGCTTAGATCAACCCCTGCCATTTTAAAAAATTAGCCATGGAATTCTTTCTTGAGCTTCTCTACACTGAGTCCTAGTAATTTCTTTTTCTTTCGATCGTTATGTTCATCATAAATGGAATTCAAAATCTTTTTATATTGTCAAGTTGTTCTTTTCTTTGAAATCGAAGTTTAAATTTTGATATTTATTTTTTGAATTGCTATTTGCAACAAGCTCATGCTTTTTCTGTCTTTTTCTTTTCTATCACAAGTTGTTATGGCTGTGAAGTATTGTAAGTGTCTGCTTTTCTTCGTTACCAATCTTTTTATGCAGTCTGTTCAGTATTTGACATTATAAATTCCACGAGTTTTACATAATTTATGGCCAGCCAGTAGCCTGATTCCCTGTCCCATTTTTAATGCTCAGTTCCTGAAATAGCACCACTTGATAGGTACGTTAGGAATCATTAAGGACTGCCAATCTTCCTATTCAATGCAGGTTCTTCCCTGATGATAAAACCTCGATCGTGTAAAGATGCACATGAACAATAAAAAAGGTAAATTCCAATGTAAAAAACTGGTAAAATGTTTTGAGAAATAATTACCAGAAGTAATCAATAAGGACCAGGAGTAAAAATATGTATGTTTTTGTGCAAAGAGTTCCTGCTCTTATAAGATGTTGCTCAAGACCGTTGGCAACTCTTGAAGTTTCTTCCACGTTGTATGGGCTTATATGACGCCAGCAAAAAGGGAGGTTTTTTTCTACAAAGAAATTCAATGTCCTGGATCCTTACATGGGTGAAATTACGCTAGATTTGTTTATACAATCACCTTCTTGAGGGTTGACATCTAGAAACCATCTTGTCAAGAAGCTTTGACGATCCTCAGATCACTTTGTTAGGTCTAGATGATCCTAGATTGATGGGATAAGGCTTATTGTGATAGTGAGTTGGATTTGGGAAATTTCAGACACGCACAAACTGATTTGTGCTGTTCATTTTCTATGATTTCCCGGTATTTGTTTGGGTGCTGCCCTATCATTTTTACTACCTTACCTAGTACTCTTATGCTGATCGAATAGATTGTCCTATGAGTCTAGATTGACTAATTGCTTTCGCATTTGAATTCCTGGTTTTCCTCTTTAGCTTCCCCGCTTACTCTAATACATTATTTTCTTTGGTGTTGATATAGGAAATTTTGGACGCCGATCCTGCTGCACAAGAAAAGCTGATGCGCTGTCATGACGACATTCAAAAGGAGAAAGAACAACACGCTCTGGTGAGGTCTGTTGAGAATCTCGCTAACTTAGTAGGATCTCCTGAAAATGAGGAAGGTGGTGGCGCTCCCGGAAAATATGTTGAAATCAGTGATCACGAGGATGCTGGAGGGCCTGAGTTCGACGAAGAGGGTAGCTCCAGAACTGCAGTTGACATTCAAGAATGTGCCCTGGAAAAGTTTGTGGGTGGTAGTGATGCAGAAGGGTCTCCTAGCAGGTACATTGAGGACAATGGTCAGGATGATATTTCGGGCCAGTATGCTGAGAGAATTCCCTCAGGGGGCTGTGTAGGCGTGGTGGCTGCACAAGAGGGCGGTGCGAGGTGGACTGTGGATGCCTCTCGTTCGTACTTGGATGATAGGCTAGAACAGGTAGAATCTCTTTCAGGGAGATCACACACGTCTGCATAGTTACACATACCGAAGGTGTTAAATCCAATTCCTGCGCCTTCTGCTCTGTACATGTCCATTGGTGTTGGAATATCATGTGAGGCAGCGGACCCTCTTGGGGTGGGGGGGGGGGGGGAGAAGGGGGCCTTGAAGCCACACTAACTACCAGTCGAAACGTGACCCAGAAGATCTTACATGGTTTTCTTTCGTTCGGGGAGAGGAGCTGGCGGAGAAAGGGGTTGGCAGGCGAGGATAGGCCTCAGAGGGTTCCATTGCACAGGGCTATACTGGTCGACTGTAGTGATACGATGGCAGAAACCGGCCTTCTCTCCGATGCCCTGATCATTGAGAAGCTTTCCTAACAAGACTTAGTTTTTTGTCATCGACCAGTTTTAAGCATTCAGGGTTGGAATGGAATTCACTAGTTCATTGGTTGACTAATGCGTCAACCTGTCTATATTTATTATAATTGATGATTCATCTAATATATTGTAATCTTTAATCTTGAATCCACTCCCAACTTATTAGCCACCTTATTAGTCAAGATGACAATGGATTTGAATCAACTGTTTGCAAAAGGCTGGGTCCATGGCATTGTGCCCCAATAAGTTGTGACTCAATTTAGCTCGATCTTGGAAAAGTATTCAGGTCTCATTAAGGCAATGAATTTGCAAGGGCACAAGCTCTCACTTACAGAACTAAATTAATAGAGCTTTAGGTTGGCTTGTCCATAGTCATCTTATTATCGTTGTAATAGAATTTCATTATCTGCGCAGGTGTTGTAGTGATTCTTACTAGATACTATGTACATTGATATGTTAAGGAATTACGTGGCTTGTTGGTATAATAAAAAATAAAGAAAAAGAGATTTTTGCTACATTCTTTTTAAAACTAATGAACTTGAATTAGGTGATAGGATAATATAATTAATTAATAGGGGAGAGACAAGTCATCACAACATAAATCTCAAGGTAAATAAATATTTATTTAGTCCATGGAATGTAATAAATATCAATAGCACATGAATGGTAAATATGGGCCTACTTAAGTTGTGTAATTGCATAATACATAAATTGATTAAGATTTATAGTTGTGGCCATTTCTTAATCAAAATCCTTGCCACCATAACCTCACATGTTGGTTCTTGTGTTGAACTACTAATACCTAAAACTTAATATACAAGGATATCAATCAACTATTGATGAAGTACTCCTAGCATACCTTTAATAAAGTAAGGGCGTTTCTATGATTATGGAGTAAGTGTTGAGGTATTAAATATTGATAATAATTGTGAGTGGGCTGTATGGGCTTATTAGGCTTATTATATCCATTGTACTCCTCTCTCTCTCTCTCTCTCTCTCTCTCTCTCTCTCTCTCCATATAGATACGACATACTCTCTGGGCTCACATGCATCTCTTCCTATGCTTGGAAGAGGGGGTACATGTCAAGTATTGCCGGCCACCCCATCTCATCTTAGGGCACCCCCTCCCCCCTCCTCTCATCCTCAAGTACGTCGGTCCTTCCTCGCCACCCCGTCTCATCTTAAGACACGTCGTCCCTCCGCTCGACCCCCTCTCATACTCGGGCACGTTGGTTGATGCGGAACCAAAGAGAAATATCAATACTGAATAGAAAGTTGGGATTTAAGATTGCCCTTGACTAGGTTAAAAGGAGGATTATGAGTAGGTTAATCATACTTATTTTATAAGAATTAAGATTGTAATTACTTAAGAAGGATCACACTTTCAAGGATTCAAATAAAGTTTCAATCAGGGTGTCAAGATCATCAATAAAAGACACAAAGAGGGTTATCCTATGGTTCACTCAATTCTTGTAAGGAGCAAGGATTTAAAAATAATAATCACTTCACAAAGGGAATTAATATCGTACCTTGCCAAAGGAGATTTTGGAGTGATTTTTTTGATTCTATTGGCTTGAGATCTACAAGTATTATTGAGGAATTTATAATAGGTGATGATTCAAGAAAATTGGTGATTTAGGCTGGGTAGCTGAGGTCTACGAAGTATTTGGGAATAGTAAGAACAAGAGAATAAAATAATGATAAGAATGAATAAAAGGTTGAGAGAGAAAAAGGGGCAGAATGAGAGGGCATCGGTAGGGGAGAGAGAGAGAGAGAGAGAATGGGGGGTACGTGGCAACGGCGGGAGAGAGGAAAGAGGGTTTCGGTGGGAGAGAGAGAGAGAGAGAGAGGAAGAAAATGAGGGGCACGTGGCGACGGCGAGAGAGAGAGGGAAGAGGGTTTCTGTGGGAGAGAGAGAGAGAGAGGGGCGTTCTCGTGGTGAGGGAGAAAAAGGTGGCGGAATGAGGCCATTAGAAAGAGTATAAAAAAGGGGGGTTTCATGGCGACAACAGGAGAGTAAGCATTTGACATTGTAAACTTGGTCATCATTTAGTGACTCGCGTTGACTCCTCCATCCTTTGACATTGTAAACTTGGTCATCTTGGACTCTCAAAACTCTAATAAGCCCTTTATTAATTTTTTGTCTCTTATTTTTTTTGTGAATTATGTCAGTTGAGTCAGCATCAACAAGTTACCTTCATATGTCTAGATTTTGTTAAAAGTTTAAAACTTTTTGACTTAGTTCATTGTGATGTGCGAGGTTACTCTCGCACCACCTTTTTTTTTTTGTTATCATTATGACATTGTCTTCTTAGATGATTATTTTTGTATTTTATGTTTATTGTCTCAAATATTCCATTGAGTAATTTCTTATTATTATTTAATATTTTTTCATAAAATTATTATTTACATATATTTGACTTCAAAAATTATTAAATAAGATAATACTCTCTTATTTGTTGAAAGTATCTTCCAAGCTCACTACTCAATTTCTTACATTTTTTTACTAGATAGTATGTACTCACAGTTTTCAACAGAATAAACTAGCTAAGTATAAATATCATCACCTTTCAATGTGACCCAAACACTATTAATAGAGATGATAGTTCCTCATTACCTATGGTTTGATGTTGTTATTAAAATTATTTACCTACTCAATGGGCTTCTCTCTTTGCCCTTGAGGGGAGAAGTTTCACTTTGTCATCTTCATTCTCATATGGATCTTTTTCCTTTTCCACTATGGTTGTTTGTGTGTCTATTTTGTTTAAGACTACTTTCATAATCTTTTCTAACTCTCTCTGAACTCTTAGAGGGTTCTTTCCTAAATCTCTCTCAAGCATATGGGTTACTAGTTTACATCTCAGATTGTTGGTGGTATATTATTTCTACAAACATCACATTCTGAGGATACTCGATTTTTCTCCACCACTTCCATCACCCCCACACCTCCCTCACCTCCACCATTAATTCATCTACCTCTACATCTCTTATAGTAGTTAGTAGACTTACTACTTGTTGAATCATTAGACTAAGACTCATTGCCTTCACTATTCCAACCTCAACTCCATCTTTAAGTCTATTGACACCACCTCAATTTGTTCTTTGAAAAGGTATTTAGAATTGTACCTATCACTTTATTTCTCATTTTATTTTTTATGACCACCTTCACCTTATCTTTCACACCTTTGTTTTAATGATTACGTCTAAGTCAATACCCAAGATATATTTGAAGACTTTGCAAGTACTTGAGTATAGTGTCATGCTCAGACATAAAATATAAAAGTTGATTTCTCATCCCAAAAATATCAATATTGCCACATACAAGTGAGTGTTTACACATTCTTTAGAGGTTAATATATGTCTTCTCAAATATGTTATTTATCGACTTAGTAATAACTTTTAAGTATGATTTGTGAAGTTTATTGAAATCTTAACTATTCATAAGTTCATGATGTGCACGGTGGACCCTATCATCTTTCATATATAAACTACTATTAAGGCTTACTTACATGAACACTTTCATATAAACTACTTTTCATGGGTTATATAAACTATTCATGGGCTCATGACTCAGTAATAACAATGTCCATGATGTTCATGTAAATAGTGACATGACTAGTATTGCCCAAATTAAGGCTTACTTACATGAACACTTTGTCACTAGAGATACGACCAAATCTTGCTACTTCTTAGAGATCAAGTTTGCCTATTAGTATGGATGAATAGTTTTGTCCCAACATAAGTATCTGTTGGACCTTGTTAGAAGATGTTGGTCTCATTAGGTGTAAATCTGAGTTATCACTAATTAACTCACGACTTAATTTATGAGTCACTACTATTTTTTTTGAGGATGTCAATTGATATCGACAACTCATTGAGAAGTCAATTTACTTAACCATCATTAATCTCTATATTTTCTACATCATGAGACTTCTAAGTCAATTTATGCACAAGCCACAACAAATACACATTATGAACATTGAGAATGTTTGCATATATCAAATATATTTTAAGATGAAACTTGATAAATGAGTAACATAGACACTGATAAATCTTCATTATCATGAGTTAATAATTAATAAATATTATAGTTTTAGCTTTAAGTTATGATAATTAGACTTATATTTATATTAAAGTATAAAAAGTAGTTTTTAATTGATTAATGTGAATTTTTGGCTAATTATATATTTTCATATAAATTTATATGATTTTTATAATTCTATTTTTAAGATAAAAAAGAAATTAAAATTAAAATATAAAAAAAGGGGGGGACTTGCCAACTAGTCAGGCCCACAAATAGGTTGGAAGTGCAGTTAGGGGGAGCTGCTAGTAGGGGCTCGAGCAGCTAAGACCAATAGGGGTAAATTTGTGTCACTCTTTTTCCACATCATTGGTGGTCAGTCGATTGTGAGGCAAGGGTGATCGTACACGTAGTGGACTCATTACTTACAAATATGATATTACTATATATTTACTAAAGACTTTGGTATACAAGTGATGTGGAACTAAACTTAATTCTCTAGAAATTTTTTGAAGATTTTAGTACCTAAATTACCCCTTAATTATAACAGAGATATTTATGATAATATCACTTGATAAGGGTATTATATTACTTATTTCAATCTCTCTTATGCAGGTAGATGACCGACGTGGATTCGAATCCTGTTAGAGTCAAAACTTGTATTTTTATGTGATTATCACAACTTTTTTACAAATCGTTAGTGAAAGATTAAGTCATTAGAATCACTAGATCATTGACAAAAATTTTCTCAACGTGATTCGCAGAGCATTGTTATTAAAATTGTTAAATGATTCACAATAAAATGATTATGAATCTATTGAGTAAATTATCTCCGATTGATCGATGATCAAATCATCGTCGGGAAAAAGACGATCTACCAAGAGACATTGCCACTTACTGAGAGCATACGAAATGTGATGAAGAGCCTTTTCTTATTATGCAGACATGAAGATGAAGCCTTTTGACATGTGCCCCACTTTTATTTGGCTCCTCTTTATTGAGTGATAACCATCGAAGAGTCACAAAGTTGTCATTTATCCGCTCCACTAGATGACAACTACTAGAAATGATTCAATAACTCATTTCATTGATCTTTAGATTTCATAAGAAGATCTAGAAGTTACTTATGTCATTCTTGTCCACAGAGAGCCTTTGAGGCTATGGACATTGCATAATAGTTGTCTCGAATATTCAAGATTCTAGTGTATTACTCATTCATCGTTGTCGTTACGTCAAAACTCTATTTTTCTACTTTCAACTTATTTTTTATTTTAGTTAATGATAATTTGTGTGATTTAAATTTACCAAACTATTTTTTATTAAAATATATTTTTTCTGACTTTTACAAATCTTAATTTGATCAATTAAATTGTATATAATTACTTATGTAGAAATCACTAGGTAGAACTCTATTTTTGTCTGATTCATGTTTGTTAGGTGATGATGTCATCTTGACGTCCGCACATTTATTTCCTTTTTTCACAAATTTTAAATATATTTTAGTTATATTTCTTATCTAAAATTTTAATATATATATATATTATTTGAGAAAAATCATGAAAAATTACCCGATATTATATTAAATGTATATATCGACTTGAAAAATTCTCACTATTTTAGAACTTTACGAAATTATAATTAATGTATTTTTTCAGAAATACTAAATATTCAAAAATTAGTATTTTCTAGTTTTATAAATTTTAAACTTACGTGATTTATTATATAATGACTAAGTCACATCAGACACTATAATATTTTAATCAATGTATCAATAGAAATATAGTTCATGGTGATATTGATTAAAATAATTAATTCTTGTCAAGTATGATTTAGGATGTAGACTTGTCTTTATATACTTCTTGATATACTAATAAGATGGAGTAAACCATGAAAATATAGGTGAGATAAAATCATTTCAAATCTTTTATTTTCATAGATATGAATTTTTAAAGCACATTTAACATTTGGAATCAAGTTGCATTTTTCTTGAAAATAATTTCTCAAATATGTAATTTTCACTCCAATGTGTTCTCACAAAGAAACATAAATATTTATATCAACATTTTGCTCCCCTTTATGTTATAATGTGTTTTGTGAGTTGGTTTCATTGTATCTTATTCAACTCTCCTATGCTTGCTTGAGGTGTTGACGGGATATGAAGTGGATCTTCAATAAATCAGGAAGCGTATTGTTTTCTCCTTCTCCTTCCACAATAAGGTCGTAATTCCAATTCAAGGGAAAAAATGGATTAGAGTTGCCTCTTTAGTTTAGTGCCAGCTTTGACGGGATCCACATTAACTATTTGAAGCCTTCCCTGAATGCTTTCGTGAGAGGATCTGATAATATCTAACCTATTGGTTTGTGTGTAGGTAATAGATTTCAATTAGCTATCACTTGTAGGCAAAGGAAAGCAGCCAAGGCATGATAAACGATAAGAACAACTATAAACGATGAGTTTATATGTTGCTATGATGGTAGATAATGGCATTAGAACAAGCAAGGATGCAATCTATCAATTAAAATTTATTCTTATCCTAGAATTGTGGCTAGCATTTCAAGTTTCTTTTTTAAACCCACTAAATGATAGAAAATATTGTAATAGGAATGATCTAATGTTTAGTCCAATCATCATGAACTGTAAATAAGCAATGACACCAATAATGTACATGTGAGATGTGAAGAAAAACAATCATAACATGTGATATACCAAACAAAAGTTATAAAATTGATGTTTATTGAATGTCATGTTACTAGTGATGTAACTATTGAAATGGTCCATGAGTGATGCTATCATAGAGTATAGGTAGCTCGCACTTACCAATAGTATAATAATAAAAATGTGAATTTATGAACAAAGCACATTATAAGTTGTGATTGAGAGAGCTAAAATGGAATCAAGAGGGATGAAATTGTCTTTATTTATTATTAATAAGTAATAATAATATATTTTTTAAAAATAGGTGAGTTGACACTTATGTTGACTCAAGATAGTAAAATGTAAGCCCTTGGTTTTATATTGGGTTCTACTATTGTAGCTTACTAAAATCTTAAAATATTACACCTTTGAGTTTCACTATCATCTAAAGGGTGTAAATGTTTAAACATCAAGATATTAGTCAGCCTTGATTAGATTTATTAATGGAACCAAGAGACCTTGGCATTGCTTTTATAAATTGAAAAGTTTCTACTTAATATTTTGTAGATTTGTTAGTGCTAACTAATCATTTCAAACTGACAACTATGAAAAGGCACATTCAATTGTATTAGAGCACTCATTGCTATTGTTAGTAGAGTGCTACATCTTAAGTCTAATCTTTGGACATTAATTGATTAAAGATTACAACATTGATTGAGGGCATTGGATTTTGGAAACTTTTAATGATGTGAGCAGCATCTTTGACTTTGTTGTTCAAGGTCAGACCTTGATCCTGCTATTAGGTCGTTGTAGAGGTGCTTAAGAGGTTGAAACACATTGGAGATGAATTGAGAATCATTTTTTATAATTTCAGCTTTTGTGATATTTTTTCCTTTTTTATTTTACTTTGAAAAATGATCCTTTTACTTGGAACAGTGGCACATATCTAGAATGGGGTGCTGTGGGTGTTTTCCTTGTCTTCTCTCTCTCTCTCTCTCTCTCTCTCTCTCTCTCTCTCTCCGTTGAATCTACCTTTGAAAACTGCAAACCCATCGAAAACAGATGCAATCTTTCTCAAGCATCGAGACCGATCATAAGACTTTATGAGAGATTAGTAAATGAAATTTATGATGTTTTTAAAATAAAATTTGCGTGCTCAGATGGCTCGAAACGTCAAGAATAATCATACACGCGCAAATACGGAAATCTATGGAACGGAAACATACTAAAAACGGAAATTAGAACCCAACAAAGAGCAAATATTGTACGTAAATACATCCAATCATAGTAGAATTTATTCGGCTCAATTACCCGTCTTATTACTCTCCGACGCCTCAGTCCCATCCACATAAAGTAAGTCGCACTTTATGTTGTCGACCATATTAGTCAACGCCTGATGTGCCCTCTCGTCGGAGTCGAGTCAAGTCAAGTCAAGTCAAGTCAAGTCAAGCCATCGGGTGGTACATCGTTGACCGGCCAATTTAATGAGGCAGCCCACCCAACTATGCCTCCGCCGATGGACCATCTGCCCCGCCGGCCCATTATCTTTTACCTTCTCCCCCATCCCTCCCTTTTTTTCAGCCACATTTTTATACCCCCCGGAGGCCCGGTTCACGAGAGGGACGTGACCCGAATTTAATACGCCGGGCCGGCCCAAATTTAATGCCGGACGCCGGCCAACCAACTGCTCTTGTCCCCTTCCGGGTCCCTGCTAGACAAAACCAGCGTTGGCGCGGTACCCGAAAAAGTTAGCCGTTTAATCGCCCTCCACGTGGACGATCGAACGGCTGCATTCACGAAGTAGCTCGGGTCGTCGTTGCGCCGGCGGCACATTGGAATGGAAGGTGGGGGCTGTCTGTCACCCTCCTCTCCCTCTGCTCCCCCCCCCCCCCAATACTCGGTTTTTGCTGCGGCGGTGGAAGGTGGGGGGCTCCGCTGGGACGGGAAAGCGTCTCCTTTCTGCTCTCGGCTGACTCTCCGACGGAACCCTATCATCCCCAGTCACCAGCCCACCCTCAGCATAGCTGGTAGGACCCCGGGCCGAGCCTATCTCGCCGCCGGCCGAGCACGGCTCCGAGAGCTGCTGCGATCTTTCCACAAAATCCGATGATTGGCGTGGGCCAATGCACTGAATCCCTGTGAGCCGGCATATCTCGGGCTTGTGGGGAGGATGGCGAGAGGGTGGGCGGTGAGGTCGGGGAGGAATACTGTAACCTCCGGGAGTTGCAGGCAGAAGGTACATTGATATTTTTCCCTCACTGCAGTCAGTGATAGGCTTTCGTCTCGGTGAGAATGGGCGTCTCCTCCCCTTCCCTCTTGATATGCTCCCTCCTCCGGTTCTCCTTGGTCCTCGTCGCCGGCTTTGCGCTGGTTTTGTGCGAAGATGGCGGCTCCTCTTCGTTCTCCTTCCAGACGTTTTCCGAACCAGACATCGCCCTCTACGGGGACGCCAAGGTCGTCAACTCGACGGTGAGAATCGCCGGACCCAGGACGCTGCGGAGCGAGGGAAGAGTCATGTACGGGAGGAGGCTGGCCTTCGGGAGGAGGCCGAGCTTCTCGACGTACTTCTCCTTCTCCATCTCTCCCGGCGGAGGCAAAGGGCCCGGGCTTGGGCTCGCCTTTTTCGTGGCTCCGAGCAATCTTCGTCAAGAATCTCTCGACGGTCGCCTCCTCGTCGCCTCCCCCGGCGTCCTGTCAGTCGAGTTCGTCGAGTCCCCAGATTGCGGCGTCAGGGTTCATCTCGGCGCCGGAGTACCCAGCAAGATGGCCAACGTCTCCAAGGTCAATGTGGCCCTCGACGACGGTGAGAAGCTGCAGACCTGGATCGACTACGGCGGAGAATCCAAGATTCTGGAGGTGAAGTTGAGCAAATACGGATCCTCAAAGCCCTCGGAGGCGCTGGTCTCTTACCCAGTGGACCTCTCGGCCTTGATCTGGAAGAGCGCCATGTCCGTCGGCGTCGTCGGCTCCTCCGGCGGAAACTCGGCGACCACGACGACGCTCTACTGCTGGACTTTCTGGTTGAAGCACGCGGCGGCGTACAGGATGCACTCTGATCCCTTGGACCCCGAGGAGGGGCTCTCCTCCAATCCGCCGGAGAAGGTGGCTCACCAGCCGGCGCGGCCCAGAGCCGACGACGGCTATCTTCCCGGGCTGCTCACCGGCCTCTTTCTCGGCGTTGCTTGCGGCGCTGTCGTCACCTTTGTCGCCGTCGCCTTCGTCTGGGCTGCCTTCGCCGGGCGGCGCCGCCACCCCGTGGCTCCCGTCGAGTACCCCGGAGCCGGAAAGAAGGCCACCACCGTCGGCGATGGCGGTGCCGGCGAGGATAGTTAGGGTCGGAGCCGTCGGCTGCGCTTTCTCTGTTGTAAATCTTTTTTGTTTGTGAGCCTCGTAACCTCAAATCATCCATCTTTATTTACCTGATTGGTTATCGTCCTCATCGCAGACAGAAAGGAAAATCCTCAGAGCCGCTCTGGCGGCACTTCACGACGGCGCATCTGATCCAAGGATCAGTAGCCCCCCACCCCCGCCCAGCCCCGCCCTGCCCTGCGCCCTGATCACTTCACGCGACGACAAATTATTCGGGATTTATTCCTTCAGCCCCGCCCAACCCCTGCGCCCTGCCCTGCCCCCTCTCTCCCAATTATGTGCCCGAAGGAGCGGCCAATAACTGCGAGGGCTGAAGAAAATCTGGGAGCTGAGGGTAGAACAAAACTGGTAATAAAATTGTCCTACTCCCCTGATGGGATTTGACAAAGATGAGAAGATTTGATTTCACGGGTACAGAGATTTGATTTGATTTGAGAACAGCTCCTACTCGGAATTGGGGGCCGGCAACTGGAAGTTGCGGCGGCGCTCAGTTGTACTCCTGCTCGGCCTCCTCCTCGTCCTCGTACTCACCCTCCTCGTCGGCCGTCGCGTCTTGGTACTGCTGGTACTCGGAGACGAGATCATTCATGTTGCTCTCCGCCTCCGTGAACTCCATCTCGTCCATGCCCTCCCCGGTGTACCAGTGCAGGAAGGCCTTCCTCCTGAACATCGCCGTGAACTGCTCGCTGACCCGCCGAAACATCTCCTGGATCGAGGTCGAGTTCCCGATGAAGGTGGACGCCATCTTCAACCCCGTGGGGGGGATGTCGCAAACGGTGGACTTGACGTTGTTCGGGATCCATTCCACGAAGTAGGAGGAGTTCTTGTTCTGCACGTTGAGCATCTGCTCGTCCACCTCCTTGGTGCTCATCTTCCCGCGGAACATGGCGGAGGCAGTGAGGTATCGTCCGTGCCGGGGATCGGCCGCACACATCATGTTTTTGGCGTCCCACATCTGCTGGGTCAGCTCCGGAACGGTGAGGGCGCGGTATTGCTGGGACCCGCGCGACGTCAGGGGGGCAAATCCGACCATGAAGAAGTGAAGCCGCGGGAAGGGGATGAGATTCACGGCCAGCTTCCGCAGATCGGAGTTCAACTGCCCCGGGAATCTCAGGCAGCATGTGACTCCCGACATGGTCGCGGATATCAGATGGTTCAGATCCCCGACTGCAACGACGAGAGCCGCCATAATTAGTTAAGGTGAAACCTGAAGGCCAAAGAGTACGGGAAGAGTTTTGGGAGTGGGGAACAAAAAACAAGATGACGAGCGACTTACAGCTCGGAGTTGTAAGTTTCAGAGTCCGGAAGCAGATGTCATAGAGGGCCTCGTTGTCCAGCACCATGCATTCGTCCGCATTCTCCACCAGCTGGTGCACGGAGAGGGTCGCGTTGTAAGGCTCCACGACGGTGTCGGAGACCTTCGGCGATGGGAAAACGGAGAAGGTCAGCATCATCCTGTCAGGGTATTCCTCCCTGATTTTGGATATCAGCAGCGTTCCCATCCCAGACCCCGTTCCACCTCCCAGAGAATGACAGACTTGGAAACCTGAAAAATCGGCAGAGAATTAATTTGACAGAAAACAAGTTGAATTAGACAGAGGAAGAAGTGGAGCACGATCTGTCCAGATCACTTGGCACTTCAACCGAAGATCAGAAAACTTGGAAGTGTACCTTGCAGGCAGTCGCAGTTCTCCGCCTCCTTGCGGACAACATCGAGAACGGAGTCAATGAGCTCTGCGCCCTCCGTGTAATGCCCCTTCGCCCAGTTGTTGCCCGCTCCGGACTGTCCGAAGACGAAGTTGTCAGGGCGGAAGATCTGGCCATAGGGACCTGATCGGACGCTGTCCATGGTCCCTGGCTCCAGATCCATGAGGACCGCCCTGGGAACGTATCTCCCACAGCTGGCCTCATTGTAATACACGTTAACTCGCTCGAGCTGCAACTCGTTGTCTCCGTTGTACCTCCCGGTAGAGTCGATCCCGTGCTCGGCGCAGACCACTTCCCAGAACTTGGCCCCGATCTGGTTGCCGCATTGCCCTCCCTGAATGTGTAGGATCTCGCGCATCTTCGCTAGACCGAGTGAGAAACCCTAGAAGAGAGAGAAAGAGAGGGAGAGGATCGGAGATTGGCCGGGGGAGTGGGGGATCTTGAAGACGGGGACGGGAGAGGGGGAGAGGGATGGGAGGTTATAAAGGCGCGGTACCTTCTGAAACGGCCGCTTTTAAAATTGTTTGCACGAACTGCGCCAGGGGGCGATCGTGGAGGGCCCAACGGCTGGAAAGGCAACGGTCAGTTGAACGACAAGCGGGAAATTTCAAATTTCAAATTTTTGCCAGATGGAGCCTGCCGGAGTGATGAAAGCCCCCAAACCACTCCACCATATCCCGCGAACGTTTGAGGCAAATGACCCGATTACCCTCAACGGACCGCTGCTTCGTCATGCGAGTAGCCCCGACCGGGACACGCGTATTTGCTCTGGCCCATTAGGCCCCATGATGGAAAGCATCTCACTTGGGCCCGTATCTCCTCCGGCTAGCAGCCTTCAGCTCACTAGGCCCATTTAGGCCCACGTCCAAGGCCTCCCCTTCCGGATAACATCGTCGAGGGGGGAACCAACTCTCCCGTGGGAAACAGAGAGGGAAGAGACGGCGGCGGATCTTCGTCGGAGAGGAGAGAACCCTTCTCTGATCCCCGCCACTCCAGCGGAGGGCTATGGCGTCCTTGTGCCTCTCCCCTCCTCTGCCCCTACACCACCGCCTGCAGCGTCTGGAGGCTTGGAAGAGCCAGCCATGGCGGCTCTGCCGCCTCAAGTACGGGCCGATGAGGGCTTCCGCCGCTCAGGGAGACAGCGCTGTGGAGCCCCCCAAACCAGCGCGCCGAGGCCGGAAGAAGTCGGACACCTCCTCGGCTTCCTCCGTCAAGAAGGTCGCCACCACCACCTCCTCCAGGTCCAGGAAGAAGTCCAAAGCACCCGCCGAGGAGCAGGCGGCGGCGGCGGATGTGGGAGTTGAGACGAAGTCGGAGGAGGAGGGAGATGAGGATTTCGACGACGGGATGGACTTCCCCTACGATTGGCCGCCGCTGGTGTGCTGTTACGGAGCGGCTCAGCGGGAGTTCATCCCCACCGTGCGCGTTTCCGACCGCCAGATGCACCCCGACCAGTACTCCTCGTGGAAGGGCCTCCAGTGGAACCCGCCGGAGTTCGTGCGGGCACCCGGAGGCCCGCCGTCGAACGTGGCGATCGCCCACGTCCGGCTGGGTGGGCGAGCGGCGTTCATGGGGAAGGTCGGCGACGACGACTACGGCCGCGACCTGGTGTACACGATGAACCTGGAGAAGGTGCAGACGCGGGCCGTGAAGATCGACTCCTCGGTGAAGACGGCCACCTCGCATATGAAGATCAGCTTCCAGGGGGACGGCAGCGGGAAGATGGTGGCCGAGACCATCAGGGACTGCGCCGAGGACGCCCTGCGGAGGTCGGAGTTGAATGTCTCCGTCTTGAAAGAAGTAGGTGATCGACCCCCTCGAATTGTATATTCTTTCAGGTGGATCCAATCCTATCCAATCCATGGCTCGAAAGAGCGTAATCGAGAGGAAGAAGAGATTTGAGGTGGCGGCGGAGGGGAGGAGGGGCTCGTGTCTGGGATTCTTCCTTGATTTTGGGATTTGAATGGCTGGAATGGATGCAGGCGAGGATCTTCCACTTCAACTCGGCCGTGCTCATGTCCCCCTCGATGCGCCCCGCGCTGCTCAGGGGGATCAAGCTGTCCAAGAAGTTCGGCAGCGCCGTGTTCTTCGACCTCAATCTGCCCCTGCAGCTGTGGAGGTCCCGCGGGGAGACGTGGGAGTTGATCCGGGGGGCCTGGGGCGAGGCAGACGTCGTCGAGCTCACCAAGCAGGAGCTCGAGTTCCTCCTGGACGAGGAGCACTACGAGCGGCGGAGGAACTACCAGCCGCAATACTTCTCCGAGTCGGTGGAGCAGACGAAGAACCGGCGGGACTACTACCACTACACCCGCGAGGAGATCGCCCCGCTGTGGCACCAAGGGATGAAGATCCTGTTCGTGACCGACGGGACCCTGCGGGTGCACTACTACACGCCGGCGTTCGACGGGGTGGTGATCGGGACGGAGGACGTGCTGATCACCCCCTTCACCTGCGACAGGACCGGCTCCGGCGACGCGCTGGTGGCGGGGCTCCTGCGGAAGCTGGCGATCCACCCGGAGATGTACGAGGACCAGCACTCGCTGGAGCGGCACATCCGGTTCGCCATCGCCGCCGGGATCATAGCGCAGTGGACAGTCGGCGGCGTCCGGGGGTTCCCCACTGAGAGTGCCACCCAGAATCTGAAGGAGCAGGTCTATGTTCCTTCCATGTGGTGACCCGCTCCTCCTCTTCATCCCGCGGAGAAGAAGGGAACGGCGCCGCCGACTTATGGAGGAAGCCGGCGATACTGCCGGGGCGGCGCCCCATCCGACGATTTGTGGATTTTTCTTGTCCTTGGAAGCTCCTGCGGCTGCGTTGTCTTGGAGGTCTGCTGAGCGACGCAGAGGAGAGAGACTAGGTGTGTCTATCGAAGCGCATCTGGTGTAGTGGTATCATAGTACCCTCCCACGGTACTGACCAGGGTTCGATTCCCTGGATGCGCAACGATAATCTGCTTTTTGGTTTACATTTTTTATAGCTATCGCTTCTGTTCTCGTTCGAAAGAGAGCGGGTTTAGATCCATCGAGAGAGCCATTTTGGTCGGATAGTTCGATCCGCGGGCCGAAAAGTCCGAGAGAGCCAGCCGCCGAGCTTCGTCAGCTGTCGTCTCGAGGGAAAAGGGCAAACCGAGGCAATAATCAAAAGCCAGAAAACAACATGCAGGCAGGCAAGCTGCTCCCCCCACCCACAGCAAAATCGACGCCCGCCCCCCTACACGACAATGACAATTCGTGGTTGAAATCTCACGACTGTGACCGAGACACACGAGCCAGATAGATAGCCACATCGCAGAGAGGGTATGTGTATACTCGGACCACGGGAGCGTCCACCCTGTGAGAGTGTCACAGGGAGGGAGATCAAACAGTCTCTTCGAGAACATGTAGGAGGGGAGAGAGTACGGCCTTTACTCAGGGCTTCACGTCTTCCTCCTCGTCTTCGATCTTCGGAGCCAAGTAGAAGCGGATGTAACCCATCTCTGCGATCTTGTACTCCACCACGACGGGCAGCTCCGAGGACAGGCTTATGGTCACGGTGCTTGACAGTGGCGTCGCCTTGGTGAAGGAGTTCATGTACCTCAAAGCGAAGGTCAGCGAGACGGGCTCGTGCATCTCGATGGTGGTCGACTCCTCCGGCTGCTCAGGGGGAACGAGCAAAAAGTTTTTTTTTTTAATTTACAGTAAATAAACACACACACACACACACATACAATTTCATAAGAAGAGCACTCAAAAACCACATTGCAGATGGAGAGAATGGCCGGTCAGGTCTCAGCAACTGGACGATTCCCTAATTCCTAGATGTGCTCTCATTCAAGATCCCCTATGATCCCTAGATCGCAAGAAACAACAGACGATTTCTACCACGATAGTACAAAACATCAGGGTAAAATTAGATGCACATCTTTTCCTCTTTTTTTCGTTTGAAGATTTTCCACAGATTGTTCGAAGCCCTACTTACATACGCTAAAGAATTGTAGCCATTTGGAAAGCTGTCTCCCATCCTGACCAGCAATCGACAGCCTCGAGGGACCCAAGACACGACAAAGAAAAGAACATGAGAAACTGATTCTCACTAGTGGCCTGTGTGATTATAGGGACGATGATGAGAGTAACTGAAAGGTAAATGTGACCAATTTTCCTGCGAGGATAACGACCTAGGCGCGAAGAAACTAGCATAATGTATACCTTGTCGACAGTGGTGTTTTGCCTGCAAACAACGTTTGCATTTCCAATATCACCCCTGGTAGAGAACTTCACTCCTTCCTTCGTCACAGAGATTACAACTGTCATCCCACAAGGAATACATCACAAGATTAGAGCAATCGATGAATACCAAATCATGCGAGAGTAAAATCACAGAAGCAGTCGTACCAGTGTCACCGATGCTACTGAGATCCTTGCAGATCCTTGCGAATTCAGACGATGGCATGCGGACGATGGCGTGATACTCGGCTTCTGGAATCCCAAGATGCTCACTGTCAATGTCCATCAGCTTCATCTCAAAATCGGCGATCTTATCTTGATCTACAGGAAGGGGCAAATGGCTCAGTCAGTCCAAGTGAATGCGAAGAAACCAGATACGTAAAACCATGAACACATCAATCTGTCGGAGCAATAAAGCATCTAAAAGCAAAACAAGCGAAGTACTTAAGCCAATAACCCTACAACAAACTAACATCAATATCATAAATCGATTCATGTGACGCTATTTATGGCCTTTCCGCCTCCAGGAAATTAATCACTGGGTTTGGAACAAAATTGGCATCACATTGGCAGTAGACATATCAATGAATTACTGTGTGCAAATGCGGAGACAGCTAAGAGAAGACCACACGAATCAACAAAAAATACAAGACTCCAAGGAAACTTTTAAATGCGTCAAATAAACTAGGAGAACACCTAACAGAGATTCTAAACCACTAGAAGGCGACGGAGACTTTTCAGAGATATCGGGATGACAAAACACAACCTCTGATCAAATGATAACCAGGTATCATCAGCAGTTACCATTTAGCCAGGTTGGGCCGACTTACTGGGGCTCTCGAACATGAAGGTCACAGTGTCGCTGCCGTCGTCGGCCTTGATGGTGACGATATCGTCGTTGCCGGCGCACTTGAGCATCTTGGCCATGTTGTTCAGGTTCATGCCCATGGAGACGTTGCGGTCACATCGGTAATGTTCGAAACCCTCCGACCTCAGGAGCAGCGCCACCAAGGCAACGTGGCTCGAGTCCATCGCCTGGAGTGAGAACCCCGTCGAGGAGCAGTCGAAGTTGGCATCTGTGACGAGGTCCTTCACAGCCTCAAGCACCTTCTTCAGCAAGTTCCCTTGCACCAACCTGAGTTCCAACATCCTCGTTCGACAGGGATCCTCCGCAAATCCCCTTCCCTGCCCCTGTCCCTGCCCGCACCCGACACCGAGCTCCGGAACGGACCGATCGCCCACCGCTCGGACGGGTAGGACCACGCAGAGATTGGGAGGGAAACAGAGAGGTCGGGATGGAAAGAGGGAGTGTATTTGAGGGGGAGCGGAGGCAGAAAGCGGCGGGAGATTGGGGGGGCGCGGTTTCAAGTTCGGCGGGAAAGCGTGCCCTAACTTCCCGCGCAAGATTCCGAAGAGGAGCGAGGAGACGGATACGTGGCCAAGTGACACGTCGCACGTCATGCTCTCTCCTATCGGGTTTCGGATCCGACCAGAGGTCCCAAAAAAAAATTAAAAAGATAATTTTTGCGGATAAGCTTCTCTTTATCAGAGCCAGGTTTCGATCCTGGGACCTGTGGGTTATGGGCCCACCACGCTTCCGCTGCGCCACTCTGATTTGTGATGTTTTTTTGATTCAGAAAAATCATAATTCTCTCTGCAAAAGAATTACAAATAAAGCACAATTTGCGAGGAGCTCAGCAGAACTTGATCACCAGGCAGATGTCTGATCCGAGAGAAAGCTTCCTCAGACGTGATTCATTCTTCGTCAGGCAAGACAGAGGAGGACAAAGGCCGTGACGGCGGCGACGGCGGAACGGTGGAGGGAGCTCGTAGTTCTTCCGCCACTGGCTTTGGAGGGGGTGAAGTCGATCACGTACTTCTGCTGCATGTCCATGGTCCAGATGCCCCAGTTCCTCTCCGACTCCGCGCCGGTCTCTCTGGGGTCGTCAAACAGCGCGTAGATGAAGGTCACCGGCGTTGTCTCCGGCCTCGCCGGCGTGCCCAGCCGCATGTTCAGCTTGCTCACCAGCCCCTCGTTGTACTCGCCAGCATAGAGGATGCTCGCCTCGGGCTCGTTCAGTCCCCCCTCGCTCGGCCACCCCGTTCCGGAGACCACCAGGGGGACGTCGGCGTAGCCCAGCTTGGCCATGGCGGCGACGGTGGCGTCCACCATCGCGTCGAAGATGTTGTAGTAGACGAGGCCGGTCTTGGGGTCGGTCAGGTGCTGGCCTTCGGCGTACTCGAAAGCGGCGATGCCGGTGTTCTCCCCGAGGATGGCGCCGGCGCGGTAGAGCTTGAAGGGGTAGAGGGAGATGAAGAAGGGGAAGCCGGCCCCGTCGAGGAACTGGAGAAGCGGTCTCAGATAGAGCTCGGCCACCGAGCGATTGAACTCCGCCGCCGACGGGGGGAAGGCCGGGGTGATGAGGTCGAAGCTGTTGGCGGTGGTGATGGAGATGTTGCCCTGGAGGATCTCGGACATGCCCTCGTGGAGGTTCTGGATGGCCTGGAGGAGGTCGCCGGCGAGGTGGAGGTTCTCGGAGGAGAAGACATCGTATCCGACGGAGATGGCCTCGATCTTGATGTTCGGCAGGATGATGTTGTCGCCCAGCCAGAGGAAAGTCATCGTCACGTTGGTGGCGAGGGATTGGATGTAGGAGTTATTGATGGCGATGGTGAGCACGATGTCCGTGTTGTTGAAGGCGGCGACTCCGTCGGGGTAAGGGTCCACGAGGAGCACCCGGGTGACGCCGGCGGCGACCAGCGCCTCCACCACCTTCTTCGGATGTGGCAGCCCCGGCGTGTTCATGGCGTAGGTCACCCCCACCACCCCGGCCACCGAAGAGTTGGAGGACACCGCGTGGGGGAAGCACAAGGACACGGGGAGGAGCATCACCACCACCACCACCGCCAACAGGAGAGGGACCATGCAGGGCGGCCGCATCCTATCTATCTATCCTAGGAGATGGCGAGAACCAGAGGCAAGGAGAGACACAGAGAGACGCAGAGAGAGAGAAAGAGAGAGAGAGAGAGAGGGAGAGAGAGAGGGAGAGAGAGAGAGAGAGAGAGATCGCTGGTGGGAGAAGACGTTTCGTGGGGCTGGTTGGTTGGCAGAGGCGCGGGGAACGTTCGACTCAGAGTGAAGCTCTCCGGTCGGATCTCAGCCGTCAGATCTCAGCGTCGATTAATTAATTATTCAGAATCGACGGTCCAGCACAGAGCTAGCGAGAGAGAGAGAGAGAGGGCGTTGGGATCACGTCCCGGGGAACAAGGAGCGAAGCCTAAAGTCCCGTCTCCCTGGGCAAGGCCCGATTAGGGCGTCCATCCTGCCGCTGATTACGCTGGCGATCGCGAACCCCTGCTCCCGCAGCAACGCCCTTCGTCTGGAGATGTACTCCCAGCTCTCCATCGACAGCTCGCCGTCGGATCTGCAAGAAAAGCATGACAATGGCTTTCTCAGCCCGGGGGAATTCGATTTGATTCGTCTTTGGCGCGTTCAGAGGCATGCTGCGGTGAAACTTGCACAGACAGGTCGGTTTTCAGGAGCTACTGCCACCAACCTCATGATCAGCGAAGACCAGCCTCCGTATCCCGCGGCGACGAGGTCGTCTGCCGTTCCGCTCCTCTGCCTCTCCGTCTTCCGCGAGAAGAGAATCAAAGACCAGCCGCCGGCTTGGAGTCTCGCGTACAGTCTGCGGACCAGGTCTCGAGCCAGCGCCTGCCCATCCCCGGACTCGTCCCTGATCCAAGAATCGGTACGTGAGAACAGCAAGCAGCACAGGCGCCGGCGGATCCAGGGATGATATGCCTTGCCGGGGGATAACAAATGCTAGAATTAATTATCTTTTACAATCGGAAACTAATTCTGCAATCACCTGCGGTGAGGAAGCTCGCTCCTGCCGGAAGTGGCGGCCGGAAACAGATCGTCAATGTCCATCAGCACCACGTCAACGCTGCTGCCTGGCGTCGCGGTGCTGAAGAAATCCTCAACCCTCTTAAGCGAGGCATTGAGCTCCCTCTGGTCGCGGCGTTCCTCGATGTGGCCATTGATGTAGCCCTCGCAGCGGGCGGAAGATTCCTCTGCGTCCCAATTTCCAAGCGCCTCAGGGAACGCTAAACCCTCGCGGTAATCACGCGCACAGTTCACTCCCCTTTGGTGAAGAACACCGGAATTCTTGTTCTGACATGATTGCAGCATGACAAATAGCGAAACCAGGATCGTGAGCAATGAAATCCCGACAATCACGAGCCCGGATATGAGGACGGTCGCCGCCAGAGATGACATGTACAGGCCCGACTCGATCACATAGCGGCTCCCCGTCTCTGCATCGAGAGATCAGGAAGTTAGCAAGTAACAGAGAAATAAACAATTACTCGACGGCATGCGTTTGATCCAGGCAGTGACAATTGATCTGAAAGAGAATTGCATATCGCGAATGGTGTCAACGATGCGGAGGACGATGAATAGGAATCGGATTTCTTTCGAAGATCTTTACTCTGCATAAATCTCCTTACGAGCGCGTGGAAGATGATGTCGTGATGTTCCTCCCAATTCTATCTCGATGGTCTTCACACTTCCATCCATTTACAGGGGTAATATTCGCCGGCTCTCTCTCCCTTGGTATGCACGTATGAATCATGAAGACAGATCAGATCACCTACCTGAAGCTCTCCCACTTGAGAGGCTGCGATCAGAGTCCCTGTAATCCATGTTGTCTGCGAAAGAAGCCATGGCGAGGTGATCGGAGAAGAATCTGCTCCCTGCCTTCTGTAAGAAGAACTTCACGCCACACGCCTAGAACTCAAGATCATCGGAGGAGCTCAATTGGTTATCTCTTGGAATTGGAATGGAAGCTTCCCATCTCAGATCCTCTCATCTCTGTTCCCCTGTCGCACACAATAGCAGGTGTTTCAGGGAGGAGAAACTGAGGAAGATTACCCCCGCATTCAAACGAAAATGAGCACCAGACGCAAACGAGGAAATCGAGGGAGATCCATTGAGCAGATTTTGGCTGGATCACTAGAAAATGCATAAAGCGTGGCAGGTGCGCGGCAGCCGCAGGCGGAAGAACTGGACAAACAGAGAAGGTGGAAACAGGAGAAGCCCCCAAAGATTTCTATCTGCTTGTTCGGCCAATACGATTGCACGCGGTCGCAGGAAACGGATTTCAACGGCGGAACACACGAGATTCACGCGACTACGGCGACAGCGAAGGTGACACAATCGGAGTCGGCGGAGGGTGAACGGCAGGAAGTAGGCACCCGGCGCACGGGAGATTTTAAGCAATTTGAATGAGAAAAGCGTTGCCGCTGGAGGTGAACAGCGTAGGAAAACCTGCAGCATCCCCGAAGAGAAGCAGAATCAGAAAGCCTGGATCTCTAGCCCCTGGTGGCAGAGAATGGCGCCTGGCGAGAAGCGAGCTCTCTATCCAGCGGCTGCCGTGGAGGCGCTCTCCATTATTTGCGCACTGGGACCTACGACAAGTCGAAAGGCAACTTTCAGTACTACCTCTCCGCAGATGACTCCTTCCCCCCGTTCCATCATCGTTCCAGCGTGGGCCACCCCCACATGGATCCCGAAGGAGGGGTTCCAGAAACGGAAGAATTTTCGTCAGCCAGAGGCTGGGCAGCCGATTCTCAGCCAAACGTGTTCTTTTCCAGGGTGGTGGTTTCTACAGACGGCGCCGGGAAGCAAGGAAGGTCCGGCCGTTGCCGTCATCCGAGAAACTAAGCAAAACCGGTAGCTACGCGACGGCGAGCAGCAGTAGCGATGAGTCAGCCGGAGATGGACGGAATGGGGGAATTGAAGGGAGGAGCTCAGACCCCCGTGACGTATAAGCTGGCGGCGAAGACGATGTCGCGCTTGATGGCGTCGGAGGCAGCTTCCATCTTCTTGTGGAGGGCTGAGTTGCCCATTATCGCGGCGGCGTTCCTGAACTCGCGGCAGGTCTCGTCGAGCCGGACGATCGTCCTCACGATGAGCCCCTCTGGCACGTCGGTGAGCTCGCAGATGTCCGCGAATGGCGTGCCCTGCGAGGAGAGGATGAGGATCAGGGGATTAGGCAGGCAACCGACCGACCGGCGGCGGCGGGGGGAGGGGGGGGCGGCAATGAAGAGACGGCACCTTCGCCCATTCGTAGACGACTTCGACGAGGCCGAACTTGAGGTTCTCTCGCGCGTAGTCCTCCGGAACCACAGGCACCCTGAAGCTCGCCTGGAGCTCGCCCAACCTGATCGCCGTGTCATACAATCTGCAGACGAGACCCAAGAAAGCAGCAGATACGGCCGTCGATGAGGAAGAAGCTCGCGATCTCATATCACGTGAAGGTGAACGCATGCGTGCTTAAGAGATTCTGAATGACCGGAGGAGGGGAGGGCTGAAGATGACCTCTTCTGGGCACTGGCCAGCTTCGGGGTGAGGGAAGGTTCAGAAGCGTTCCTCTGCTGGAAGACGAAGGCGGACATGAGGGCGACGGCTTCCTCCGGTTCCAGATCGTCGAACTGATTCTCGAACAGGCACTCCGTGCAGATCAACTCCTCCCCGGAGTTCATCTCGCAGGCTACTCGGCCCTTGATCTGGACAACAAGGTCGGAGTCGATGCATCCGATCTCCTTTAGCACATCAATCTGAGAAGGCAATGCGCTAGTCAGAGAGGGGTTCCCTCGATTAGGCGAACATCGATCGGCGATAGCGAAACGATCTCCAACGTACTCGGCCCTGAAATTCCGGCATCTGCTGGAGGGCCTCGTCTGACATCTGGAACCTGAGAGCGTTGACTTCCTCCTTGTGCTTCTTAATCTTCCTCGCCAGCGTCATGTGCTCCTTCAGCTTCACGCACCCGTGGCACTTGTTCTCCGTCATCTTCTGCAACAGCCGGTTGTGTCTATGGTACTTGGCCACAAGATCAATGTCGTTCAGCTTGAGATCTGAAAGAGATTGTAGACAGACGATCTCATACAGAAATCGGAGGCAGGAGAAGCATCAAGGACAGGAAGAAACAGTCTGGAAGTAGTCGTACCTTTGTAAGGATCCAAGGCGCGGGGGAATTTACCCCCTCCGGATCTCTTTTCCAGCAACTCCTGAACAGCTTTAGAGTAAGCGGGGCGGCTCGGATACTCGAGGAGCTGCACCTGATCGACCTTAATTCTGCAGTCACAGATGCTCACAAGCTCATTGTTCTCCAGGGCGGTCACTTCGAAATTCATCCCGCCAGCAGTACCACGGTAGGGCAAATCGACGTTGACAGCACCCGATCCCTTGCGAGAACCGACGGACATGAGGTAATCATCGGCAGCTCGCTTTCCCTTGGGCTGTATGAAGTAACCCTGCGGAAGATTCCCGCCAGCCTTCTCTTGCAGTTTATCAAGGGCCACCGGAGCAGTCTCCGCGGACAGCCACGAATCAGCCGTCAATACCAGCACGATGTATTGCTTGAACGTAGATGAAGGGGCTTTCAGGACGACCGCCAGAAAGTGATCATCTGCCTATCAGAGACAAGCCAGAACGCCCTCCGTAAGCCGTAAAAGATCTACAGCACGCATTATTTCATCCGACCACAGACGACGAGTGCAACGAGAAATGGTGAAGACGGGAGGGAAATCAAAGAGAAGGGTATGACATGTGGCTGAAAAAGAACTAGGAGGACCATCTCGATGGTCGAAGAGAATGCTTACCGTGTGTGGCCTGACAATCACAACTCTCCCAGGTGAGAGAAAGTGCGGAGCGTATTTCATCACTGCTTCTGATAGGCTCGCTCGAAGTTCCTCAGCTTCTGAGGCCAAGTCGAAGTATTCCTCGATCGCGGGTTCACCTTTTATGCATCTGTTCAGGCAAAGAGTGGTGGGATAAGGGTGGCGTCCATGAGCAGCGCATCTAAATGAGAGCCCAATGTTCCTCCCAGAGCCAGAATCACACGGATGTTCGCAATCCCATCCCACCACCAATGACCTCCCTTCAGACTGGTCCGAGGGACGACCCAGCCAGACGGCCTGGTTTTGATAGGGACCGGACAGTTGCTGGGAGGAGGGCAGACTTACTCGATGGCTTCGGTAGGTTGAGAGAGTTTCAATAACAGAAGCTTTTCTTTCTCTGGCAGATTCTTCTGAGCATGGAACTCGGCGAAGCTTCTCTTCAGCATATCTTCAACCTAGGACAGGTATTGTTCATCAAAATTTTCATCATCCACATCACCCAATTCATGCCATCATCTAATCACTGGAATACAGAGAATAAGTTGAGACGGATTGCACTAGATTTTTTCATCTTACTTTTGCAAGTGCGTATGATGTGAGTTAAATAATTTTCTAGTGGCATATGTTCGGACCAACTTAGGGGGCATGGGCATGGGGAGGGATGCTTCCGAACCATACGGTCTGGAACACGGTCCTAAAACACAGATCTTGATTTTCGGGTTTACCAACGGATACATGATGAACTGAAACTGATTGAAAAATATATTTATCAGAATTCATTTGATCATTTCTCAACAGGGCCTCCAACCATTTTTATTTATTTATTTATTTATTTATTTTTGTCTAGAGTGTCCATATTATGAATAAAGCTCAAAGACATGATAATAACCTTTATTAGTGACATGTTAATCAAAACTTAAATGTCAGAGACAACCAATCTATGGGACATTTAACCTGTAAATAGTGCAAAATTTGGATGAACACAGAAAAAACAAGGAGCACCTTCAGTTCTTCTATACGAAGTAGATGGAGGATCATGATGTACGTCAGTCGAAACTGTGACTCAAGCCTGGTCGGCTTTCCAACCATGACATGCCTCAGATCTCTCTCCTCGGGCATTTCATCACGGCACATGACCACCACCGTACCAATTTTATCGAGTCCTCTCCTTCCTGCACGACCCGCCATCTGAATATATTCCCCTGGAAGTAGTTGCCGGAACTCCTTGCCATCAAACTTCCTCAGAGTAGAGAAGACAACCTGTGAAAAAAGACGGCCCTCAGCAAGTCTCTGACCAAGGAAGGCCAGTGCACATCTTTTATGATATTAGGACAAGAGAAAAGGGCAGACTCATAGGGTCAAGAGAGAGAGAGAGAGAGAGAGAGAGGAAAAGGAACTCACCGTACGTGCTGGTGCATTAACTCCCATTGCAAAGGTCTCCGTGGAGAACAGTACCTACACCCGATGACATCAGAAGAAGAATTATACTCCAAGACGAAGAGACCAGGAAGAATGAGGCGAACAAATTACACCAGCGATGGCCGACAACCCTTTTTTTTCATCCCTATTTAGGAATGGTGAAGATGAACATCCAGACGTATATAAATCATAGGAAAACCAATGCATGGTGATATGAAATGATCGTGCAGTGGGCATCCTCCAAAACACAGTTGACAGCCGGCAATGGCACACCATCGACTGCTAAAATCAGATCGAAGACGGCAGTGGGTGAATGATGTGAGCGACACAAGGAGGTGATCTTGAACCTCAAAAGCCTACGATGACAATGAAGAAAGAAGCGATGTGGGTTGGGTCAACTTGAAGACAACGTGGGTGCGCAAGATCTTGAGGAAATCAGATCCAACAGATCAAAAGTGAGGAGAAGAAGATGGCTCTGATACTGTATGATGAGACTTTATCAGAGATAATAAGGAGAATCAGAGAGAGCACTGAGGGGAAAATATAAAATAGAAAATGGCTTTTTTTATCAGGAATACACCCCCTTAACACTGATTATTTAAAATTATTAATCCAAATTAGAGCAGCAAAAAATGACCTTAACTACTCCACGGCAGAAAAGCATCTCAACAACTTCTTTGACAATAGGAAGAAGGCCAGCATGGTGCACACCAATTCCTCTCCGCAGAAGGTTCTGGACTCGGATAATCTGCAGCGAAATTTACATACAAGATGATCTTTAATCATTGCTTCAACATGTAAGAAAAAAAAAAAAAAAAAAAAACCACGAATACCTGTGGAAGGTTCCTATCAGACCCCTTCAGGCGTGAAAATGCCTTATCACAGAATAGGCGGATTTCACTTTTCTCAGAACTGCTAGTGAGGTCGGTGCCAGTCAAGAGGTCTGCTGACTTGTCGCAAAGATTCTTTGAGAAGCAGAAGATGATCACCTGAAAGCAGAAGATTGATTTGCTTTCAAATTTAAAAGTCGTATGATGATTCTAAGCTTTAAAAACACAAATAGGAGTTGAACTTGCGCAAATAACAACTTAATGCATGTCGGGAAACAAAGTCAATCGATTTTTCATTAGTTTTTTTTTCAAATGGATATATTGCCATCACGAACTCAACCATAGTAAATGGATTGCACCTCGAATACTGCTGCTTCATTTCACAGACCGAATGGCACAGAATATCGATGAATACAAAAATTATGCAAACTCCTTACGCACAGGCAGAAGGGACTTCTTTGAAAGTCTGTTTATGAGCAAGAGCCACATAGAAGACTCTGATCTTCTTGCCCCCCAGCTATTCTGATGCAGTCCGCTGCTCGCTCCTGAGAGATTCATGGGTTGCTGCCCAGAATGTCTCTGGCCTCTACCCCGACCAGAAGTTTCATGATGCCTTTCTCGACCCACACCTTGCGTCGCCGCCGCTGACCCTGCTCCTCCGGAACTGCTTCCAATGGTAGAAGTTTTCTTCTTGAAAGCATCTTTAGCTGCCCTCAGTCCCTGGGGCAAGAAGGTTTCGCTTTCACATATTTTGTACAACTCCCCAGAATAGAATAAGCAGTGCTCCAGTGGGACAGGTCTCTTCATGGTCCTGTTTGAAAAATGCAGAGCAGGAAGAAAGCTAAGGAGTTAGAAATTTGAGTAGACAACCCATTATCATAGAATGAAAATCGATATGCATTTAATTTAGCAAGTTCCTGGTTGGAAATTTCTTTTCAAAATGAAAATCGAGAATTGATATGCATTTAATTTAGCAATTTACCCAGTAACAATAATTTTCTTCTTTTTTGTCCTCCCTATCCAATCTGCGAATTCCACTGTATTTGGCACCTGCAATATTAGGGTTAGAAAAAGCAAGCTGATGCCTGAGATTAATAGATATATAATGAAAACAACAGGATATGGATATAAATATCACAGTCGTTGTCCCTCAATCAAAACCCAAAAACTAGGCATTAAAAGTGTTCATTCCAGATCAGGAAATAAAAAATAAATAAAAAATCATGTACCGTTGCAGAGAGAAGGACAAGATTGATATGCCGTGGAAGCATTATGATAATTTCTTCCCATACAACGCCCCTCTCGGCATCATTCACGTAATGCACTTCATCAAATATAACCTGTTCAACCAAATTTGAACAACACAAAACTTTCAGGTTCATCATCAGGAATCAAACCAGAAACTCCGAGGATGGTGGCGTTGACTTGACCAAGAAGCAAACAGAGAAGAGATCATCTCATCTCACCCATTCGATGTCTCGAATAATGTCAGCACCGCGATAAAGCATCGATCTTAGAATTTCAGTCGTCATTATCAAACAAGATGCCTCCGGCCTCAAGCTCACATCTCCGGTCAGTAGTCCTACGTCAAATTTCCCACAGAAATCTCTGTATTTCTGGTTGCTGATTGTTTTGATGGGAGCAGTATACACAGCCCGTGTGCAGTGCTATGGAAAATACGCACCATCCGTTCAGACAATACACATAAGAATAGAACATATCATACTATAAAACATTTACTAACTAAAAAAAATCTTTAAAAATATTAATTTTGAGGGATGTGGAATCATGAATTTTTAAAGAAATTTCACAAGAACTATGTACCAACAACCTTGAACTGAATAAAAAGAGTGTAATGAAACAACAAGTCTAGATCAAAGATTCCTCATCGAATGCCAATAAAAGAATAGACACCGTACCTTTGATGCTAAAGCAAACGCATATTCTGCAACAACAGTCTTTCCAGCTGACGTGTGGGCAGCAACAAAAACGGACTCACCCTTCTCTAGACAATAAATAGCCTGCACGCAGAAAGACATAAGATTTATGGAACATAGGTTGAGAATTATTGGCAACTGCAAATACAGAAACATGACTGCAGGTTAAAATCAGCATGCACGGTGGCTTCTGAAAATTTAACTATTGATTACCATGAGCTACTTTTATTAACTTTTTTTTTTTTTGTGTTCAGCTATCTAATTCATTTGCTGCAAGGATTGCCTTAAAAGGATACTTTTTTCTCATTAGAGTCTGGATTTTTCCTACATCGATTGTGCTTCAATTGATTGAGTTTATTTGATGAATAACTTTCTTCAGTTGCAAAAGTCAGCGGCAAATAATCGAGTAACAAGAGTGCATTATGCATCATACAGTAGCAGTCCTCATAAATAATGTTGACGAAAATCACTCGACATCATATTTTTTAAGTTCTATAATAGTCCAGAATAAAAAAAGAAAGAAAGACATTTCCGTTTTTTAGACGATATGATAGCGCGAACATTGGCACCTTGAAGGTGAGAATATAGGTTAGAATGTCAATATAAAGAAATCTGAAAATTCAAGGTTAAGATACCCATCAGATTTCCCACGTCAATGAAGTTGCATCATTGCTAGTAAAAGCACAAAATACGTTTAGACTAATACCTCCTTCTGAAAATTATCCAGTTCAAATGGAAAGTCAAGTGCCAAGTTAGGGACAAGTTCATTAAAGCGATCAGCAATCCCCTCAGTATCACAAGTAGAAGTCCAAGCCTGCAAAGAGATGTACCAAGAATCAAAAATATACGTACATCACTGGTATGAACCAGAAAGAAAATTTAATTTTAGAATAACGCAAGATAACAGACTGGAATATGTTGAAGCAACTAAATCATGACAAGCTGCAACATGTTAAAACAATTAAATGATGACTCTAATGATCTAAACACAAAAGGTCTGGCAAACATCGAACTTTAAATAATGGAGAGAAAATGGAACTTGTGCGTAGTTCACTTCATTCATCACTTTTTTTTTTAACATCCTTTCCGCCTGATTATGAACATCCCCAGGATATGAGGTGACTAATACAAATTCATGATCCCGCCAGTTGATGAATACAAAAATGGGATCAATCTTCTCTTGAGATGACAATACAAATGAAACCCTGTAAGCCCAAAAATGGAAACTTTAACATCTCACTTTGATGTAGAAATTCAATGAGCGATGTCATTAAATAGAATAGCAAAGTCAATCTTAGTCCGCCATTCTGATTGAAATCCCAAATCTCGTTCAAGGCCGCTAAAAAAAAGGTAACATTTCAGGTTATTGTACGTGCCATACCTCTTTTCGTTGTTCAATTTGGTCGCTTGCATCCGCAGCTGGCTTTGGTGGCAAATCCCCAGGTTCTGACAAAAGAATTTCATCCAAAACCGCAGATTCGGTGCTGGGAGTTGCAGTATCTGAACGATCCTCTCTGCTTTCAGCTTCTGGTTCGCTGAGCACTTGATTCAACGACTCTCCTAAAGCAGAATAAACAAAACCAACAGATTTCCTTCAGGGGAAGTAGCAGTCGTTTACATGGAAATTGAAATGATTCCAAAGTACAGACATTAAACAAGAGCTAAGTCTAGCAATAAAAATTAAGCGTATTTAGAGGATTTTCCAAAGGTAAAACCTCACCCAGGATCAAAGCTTTGAACTTTCTGGACAGATTTACTTTTCGCTTAAATTTTCATTTCAATTCAACTACGACTGTGTAAAGTACCGTGAGGGAAAGGTGAAAAGAACCCCCCGTCGGGGAGTGAAATAGAACATGAAACCGTGAGCTCTCAAGCAGTGAGAGGAGAATATGATAGTAAAGTTTCTATTGGCATATGAAACAGATAGAGCTCCATATTGGAGCTGAAAAACGGTAACATTAATTCATTTCCCAAACCAACGTTGTCTGGGTTCAGCAGTACCAACTGTCAAAAACCTGCCAACGGTTGAGGAACCTTGAGGGCACTTACATATGTTCAAACATCATCATCATCATCATTTGAATTGCAAATAGCTACAAAGAGGCACATTTCATTACCATTTCCTGATGGGTAAAGGACATGAGCCAGATGTACCAACCGAGAGTATATGAGAAAACCCATAAAAACAAGGATGAAAGATCCTCATGATATCCATGCGAGTATAATTAGATTTCCTCCGAAGTGGTATATTCTCTTGACCTTACCTGAAATATGTTCTGAATATTGTCACAATTCGATGAACCCATTGTCTATATGTAATATATGTGATCAAATATTACCCTAGAGGTTTTAAGCAATCTCATATTGTTCACAATTTTTTAGTGAAAACAGTATAATATTTATTCACTTAACATTTTAAAAGCATATTTTAGCGTAATAAGATAGAGCCAACCAAACCTAACCGGAGTGGGGAAGTTCTCATGCCTAACTGAAACATGAACTTTCTGGCCAGGACTGATCCAGTCACAGATAATTACTTTCAAGGCCACGAACATAGAAGAATGACTACGTTCATCCAGCAGTTCTACAAAAAGGTATCAATGAAAGAAACTGCAACATAGTGGATAAGATTTATCCTACTTCCATGAATCAGAAAAGCAGAATTACTCAGTAGTCCAAAAAAAAAGAGCCAACCTTCCTTCTCTAATCCTTCATCAGTGCCCTCTTCCCAAGAGTTTTTGAACAAATCATCAAATTTTACAGAGAACTTGATCTGCATAAACAGATAAAAGTCTACAATGAGATTTCATGGCAACACATTTGCACAAAATCAAAGCCGCTGGCAATATCACTTAAACCCAGTTGGCCCCTTGACTGCTACTATAGTCAAATATCCAGCTTCTAATAGGAATTAAATAGGAAAGTACCCAAGTATTCTCTCTTTTCATCCAACTTCCGGACACAAGACTGGCAGTCTGATTGGTGTGACAGTCAAAATTCAAGTTTCACTAATTATAACATAAGGCTAATAAATCAATTGACCAGTGGCTTTGCAAAAACATTCAGGATGTGCGATGAGCAACAACTAACAATATTCTCTTCCGCAGCACTGGAAGATCCAGAGCGACGTTCCTTGAAAGACTTCCACCGATATGGGTACCCCTTCAAAACATATAAAGATGAATCAACTCAATGAGTGAGTTTCTGCATATAAAATGAACTTCCACGGAGTGCCGGTTCATGAAGTATAAAGAATATCACATGTCAGAGGATACCTTTAGAGAACCGAGATTCATTCCATGCTTAAAACTGGGAGGTACAGTCTGGGCATCACCACCGTCTATAATTTCACGTAGCCATTGCCCACTATGAACGCCTTCAGGAAGGAGCCTTTCTGATGATGGAGAATCATCCAGACCACCTGGACGAAAAGGACGATTGCTTGTGCTACCCCTCACAAAATCCCTCATTTGTCCGGGCACATGCAACAAATTTCCAGTGTCTTGAGCGTCTTCCAATAGCTCTGCAACTTCTACCTGACAAAGCAAATGTATAAATGATAGAAATCACCCCTTGTTGCCCCTTCTTCATGTGAGTAGACAATAACAATAATCTGTCATTTCTCTCCTTAATCTTCTAGGAAGAGTCCTCAAAATTAGAAATATAGAAAGCACGGATACTGTGGAAAGTTGCATGCTTTAAGACGTGCTTCATACAAACCTAAATGCAGGAGAGAAAATAACACCTGAAAAGGCAGGGCTCCTCTGTTTGGGTATACTAGAGTATTACAGAAAATCAGCTGCATAAAATGGTTGTTCATTTCTAACCATAATACTGTCAACAATTGTTCGTGAAAAAAAAATCCGGTTCCTTAATTTTAAACCAGGATCTGTCTGTGGCCATGGAAAGTGGTATAAACCTGCTGCACAGCAGTCCCTAATCAATGGATGCTCCTGTCTTTACTGCAAACCTAAATTATTCATTCAATTTTAATTTTAATTAGGGGCACAACCTACTTTTAGAGGGGAGGAAACAAAACAAAAAAGGAAAACTTTGCCGCAAATTCCGAAAAAATATACAGTAAAACTCAGCCAGCTATGCATCAATTCACACAAGGACGATATTCTGCCTGAAGCAAGTTAAGTACACAGACCTGAATAGAAAGTGGATCCCATATCCCTCTATCAGAATCATCGCCGTTGCGCCTGAAAGGCAATTCCCATGAAGGAGCTATGACAACTCTGGGAGCTGACGGCTCCAGATGTACCTTCGCTCCGTCAAACCAGTCGAAGTCCCATTGCCTTCCGGATTTTTCAACTGAGAACGCATCCGGATCCAACTGCGGCAATAGGTATTCCTCCTCCAATTGTCTCTTCGCACTTTCAGGTGTCTCTGGTTCGAAGGCTGGAGGCTTATTCCCAGCCCCCCAAAAACAGCACAAATGTTAGATGGAAATTACGCGAAGAACACATTAGGAGCATGAAGAAAACTTCATCAGAACAACGTCCCCATAAAATCTACCAATTTATGTGAACATCATGTACGCTGCCCTGTTCTCCGAGGCGGAAATTGCGGTTTCCGGACTAAGAAAAGCAAAAGACAGATAGAATGTGCATATACGGCTTCTAAGGTTACCAATGTTGCCTGGTTATTCCAAACACTTGCAGAGAGAGATGGAGAGAAAGGCCTTGAGACGCCATTTTTGCGCCCCCCGACCCAGAGACGAAACGAAGATACAGAGGCCGGGATGGAGCTGACGACGACGACCCGAATACTCACGAGGATGAAGTCCGGGAGGGATCTGAGTGGGTTGCGTCGCTCTACGGGGGGGAGAGGCTCCAGCCGTAGGTGCCCGCTGTGGCCGGAGAAGCCGACCCGGAAAGCCACCTCGTTGCCAGCGGAGATCCGGTCCATCTGGCTCCTCCGCGAAGCACTCGGCCTTGTGCCGCCGTCGCCTAGGTCGTTGCTGGAACCACTAGTCTATGCCGTTCATCATTTTCTCGCCCGCTTCCCCCCTCCGGCGGCATAAACAACGTAATCAACCTGCCCGTGCAATGGCCGCAACAGCTCTTCTTTGAATTGGGAAATCCGAATCGAGTTCGACTCCCGCTCCTCAAGCTGGAATCCCATTTTCAATGATGCGCCGACTTCAGAGCGTCTCCATCTATCTCCCGCCCACAGAGAGCGGGCTCGTAAGCTCTGCTACACTAAGCTCGAGCCAGATTAGGGCCCGACTCGAAAATCCATTTCTTGCGATAAGAAGGCGAGAGGTAGTGAACCAAAAATGATGTTCCTCGTGCTGCTCACGACGAGGGAAACGCTCGTGGCGGCTCGCCGAAAACCCCAATCCTCCAAATGATCGGGCCTACAAATTTTTATGTGGAACAACCCCACAACGCGTGCTCATAATCTATGTACATTCATTCCTCAACATTAGAAAGAGAGCTTTTTTATACACAAAAGGGCACCGAAAATGGCTGAAATACCCTCCCCGATCGACTAGCGGGTGGAACATGGAGACGAGTCCTTCCCACCGTAGCTCCCGCTCTCGGGGTGCCGCACCGAAGAGGGAGACGCCGGAGCCGCCGCGCTGAGCTCCATGTCCCGAAAGTCCTTGCGGATTCCCCAGAGCACCTCGCCGCAACGCTTCATTGACGGCCGCGACTTCCTCGACGGGGCGAGGCACTCCGCCGCCAAAGCCAGCATCCGCTCCACGGCCATCACCGACGCCGGGTTCCTTCGCAGCCGCGGGTCCATCGCCGTCACCGCGTTCCCGCTCCGAAACCGGTTCATCGCCTGAAAACACAGCATTCGAAGGGTTCAGTCGGACCCCGGTCGCGCTAGTAAGGGAATGTGCGAACAGGAGGAGGTCGACAATCTGCGAGAGTAGTGGAGTGAGCTCCCACCCATTTGGTCGTCAGGCGATCTCGCACATCGCGTTTCGGGTCGATGGGGCGGCGGCCGGAGACGATCTCGACGAGGAGGACGCCAAAGGAATAGACATCGCTCTTTTCGGTGAGCTGGTAGGTTTGGAGGTATTCGGGGTCCAGGTAGCCGGCGGTCCCCTTGATCTGCGTGGAGATGTGGGTGGCGTCGGAGTCTTCGTCCGTTAACTTGGCGAAGCCGAAGTCCCCAACCTTCGCCCGGAGCTTCTCGGTGATGAGGACGTTGGAGGCCTTGACGTCTCTGTGGATGATCGGTGGATCTGGCAGCAAAAGACGAAGGCAACCGTTATCCAACACGTTATAAACAGACCCAGAAGTAGCCCTCCTGCAGAGATGACCAAGGAATAGGTGCATCTGAGAAGGAAGCCACCAACTTCCTTCGATCCATCTTGGCGTTCATGGTGATTGGAAATTCCCCGATATTTAAGATTATATACATGCATATATAACGACGAGACCTGGGTCTAGTTCACGAAATCAACACAACAGCCCCGACTGAGAAAATTGGTCTAGCGTGGTCATCTGCGCTATTTCTATGAAGTTTCGTCGAAGAAATGCTGGACTGCATCATTGGTTTATCTACCCACATTGCTCTGCATTAAAGGGCACCAAGGGTTTGCAGCGCCTGTTGGCCATCACAAGCTGTCTATGCCAGATGATCTGATTCAGAGATAGATCTTCCCCCTTCCAACCGCGACATGGCCGGCGGCACATGACATGCGATCAGTCAGAAGCACCTGATCTACGGAGAAAGTCGAGGAGCGTAACCTGTGTACATGTGTAGATACGTGATTGCATGAGCGACATCGATGGCGATGTCAAGCCTTTGTCCCATTTCGAGTCCCTCCCCCCGGGAACCTGCTGGATACAGCACCGCTCTTTAGAGCTCTCTAAAGAAACCGACCAAGGCATGGGTATTGATGATTACGAAGAATTTTCTAGGCTAATTGCCCAACGGGAAGAGGACCAGCGGGCGTCGGAACAAGAGGAACAGTCTCAGTCATGTGAGCTCGCGTCAGTTTGTTCCTACGACCGAAATGCGAAGCTAAAACTTGCCCTTTTATGGCGGGGAGGTGGTTTGGGGACGCACTCACCGTCTAGATGCTCTCTTAGGCTCCCGTTGGCGACGTACTCGACCAAAATGATCCTCTCGTCGCCGTACTCCACGTATCCGAGGAGTCTGACCAAATTCAGATGCTCTATTTGGGACAAGGTCTGGATCTCATTCTTGAATTCTACCCCAACGTGGTTGTCGAAGAGGTTCTGCACAGAACGCCAAATCCGAGCATTTAGATGACGAGTGTCATTCTTACCGGAAGATGTGGACGCGCAGGAAGACCAGTTTCCTCACCTTTTTGGCTCGCTTCACTGCGATCAGTGAGCCGTCCCTCAGTCGGCCCCGGTAGACGGTCCCAAAGCCCCCTTGCCCTATGATGTTCGCCGCAGAGAAATTGCCCGTCGCCCCGTTCACCTCCGCCATGGTGAAGGCCGTGCTGCCCTCGTGCAGACTGGCCTCTCCGTGCTTGAGCTTAGAACCGCTAGCAGTCCATGCCGATGTCGAAGCTGCAATGATCGGGCAAATTCGGCTGTGACAAGGTTTACAGCGCCACTGGAAGTATTGATGCGAGATCCTTGCGTGGGAATAATATCAGAGACGACGGTCCTCTAGCCAAGGCGCGATCTTGTGGGCGGGGAAACCGTTAAGATCACAATTCATCACCATATACACAGACACACAAGTATTTTCACAGTGGGGGTGTGCCCGAAGGTTTAGTCTCGACAAGCCAAGGATTCTTTCCTCAGCCAGCAGACAGTTCTCGTTTGCCGATTGCGGGAACCGGCCACTTGAGTGGGACATCTCCACAGGACAGGAGGATGAAGATCCAGCAGAGGCCCTACGAGAAGCGTACTACCAGCAGCCAGAGGAATCCTCTTACCGGGTACCACCGCACGGTGGCGCAGGCCCCTATGTGGATTTAGGCAAAACGAGGATAGTTCACGGATCTCCTAGTCTAGCTAACACGGGTCAATAGCCGCAGTCTGGCGGTGATAATTCTTTGTTTGGCCTAGTTTTGGTTCGATTTCGATTCAGCCCCATCGAAGAAACTTATCTAATCGCTTGCTTATGCAGATGCTTTCCTGAGAAAAAACCTACGACGCGGTATGCGGCCGGAGGATGTTCTCCTTCAATCGGCCGGCATAGGATGGGGAAAACACAGTACGGAGTTTTTGCCCTTGAGAATTTCCCGAATCGACGGGTTAGAGATGAGCGGAATTTTACAATTAGTAGCAGGCAGATGAAGCATGGTGGAACGGGAGCGTACTCGAGAAATCATGGATGTTGTCATCGTCTTCATCGTCCGGCCAGGCACCGCTGTGGCGGGGGCTGAAGCAGGTGATGCAGCTACCTGCAACCCCGTGGACCCTGCCTCTGAAGGACTTGGGGACGCGGAACTTCCCACTGGAATCGGAGCCAACGGCGGAGTGGGCGGAGTAGGTGGACGACTGGGAGAAGTCGGATGGGTTGGGGGTGGGATCTTGTTTCCGGGCGCCGGAGCTGTAGACCCTACTCCCCAGTTTCTGCATAGGAGAAGCTCCGGGGAGGGAGGGAGGGGAGAGCCGCGGATATTCCGAACGACGATCGACGCGCGCTCCTCCCACCACACCAGATCTCAGAGGTATGGCACCGGCGGCTGCTGAAAAGAGAGGAAAAGGAAGACGGCAGGTAAACAAGGGATGAGGAAAATGACGGGGCCGGGGAGGGTTCCAGAGTCAACCCTGTCCGCAAATGGAGGTTCTACACGCGAGCTCCATTGGCGATATGATTCAAAGGCGGCCGCACGCCAGGGCATATAATTGCGTGTCACTGATGGCTTTTCCCGCGAACAGGTGGGGAACGGCCGAAGACGCGATACCAAACCATATTTCACGGCTCGGTGCTTCAGCCGCGGGCAAACAAACCAGCAGAACGAAGATAATAACGTCCGTGCACCGTCGAGGGTTTCAATCGACCTGAGCGACTCAGGCGCTCGTTCCTTCAAGATAATCACCCCAAAATGCAATCGTGAAAGATAATAATATTCCAATAGGACAAGATCTCTTCCCGTTTTGAATGAAGGCGGGTCCCAACTCCGTCTGATCGGTCCTTTTCTAACTCGGCTGTGATGGGGAGCTCCGTCCAGGGTCTATTTTCTGGACCTCCTCCCCCCCTCCCCCAGTTTGAGCCTCCGCTCCACCGCCGCCCCTCTGGGCACACCTCAGATTCTCTAGAGCACACCTCAGCGTTGATATCTTACTCTCTCCCTCAAGCTTCCCAACCCCTGGCTGGGTGAAAAGTCAAGGGCGTGGCGGCGTGGGGCATTGGCCCGTCGCTGATTCGCTCCCCAATCCTTGGTCAACTCTTCTACCCCTCCGTCCCTCCCACCGACGAACTCGTCTCCCTCGGCATTGGCCATGACGAAACACGCGGTGGTTAGATCGCAAAATCTTCACTTGCCGTTCTACGCTGACTTCCCGATGGAATTCTAACAAATACAGCGACGACCGGAGAGAAAATCTCCGCCGGGGAGCCCACCTCGCGTTATCGGTTTCATTATTTTGCCGAAGGTGGATGGTGGCGATCGATCTCGCCTCCGACGAATTGGAAGGAGCCTTCGACCATCGCGTCCGGTTTCAGAAGAAGACTTGCTCCGCCGTGGCGAACACGTTCCAGAAGATCGCCGTGATGAAGTAGAGCACCGACGTGATGGTCAGGAAGGCCTGGAATGATCCCAGCCACTGCACGAAGTAGCCCGTTCCGACGGTGCTGATGATGGCCGCGAAGGTCCCAATCGAGTTGGCGATACCTGTTAGACACGGAAAATTAGAAACCTCGCCTGTCGAAACCCGAAGAGGAACTTGCGGAGAATCATGGCCTCCGCAGACCTACGCACCGTGGAGAAACCCGGCCTGCTTGGGAGCGATGTCCTGCAGACACAAAAGAAAGCAAACCCATCGAATTATCAGGCGCTTGGCGGACCCTTCTCGTCCTAATTTTTGGTGGTAATCTGTGCAAGAGAGAGAGAGAAGATCAGGCGCGAGGGGCATTAACCTGCATATTGAGTAGGAACCCGGCTTGGCTAAAAGCGCTGAGGCCGAGAGCCACCGAGAGGAGAACCGCGGCCTCCGCCGGCGTCCGCGCAAGGTTCAAGAAAAGGAGAGAGACCCCCGGTCCGATGAAGCCCAGGGACTGCCCGCAAAGACGACCGTCAACCGAGACATCGAGGGCTCGTGATTTTACTGTCGTAGATACATATCAGGCGAATGTACCTGCATGAGCTTTCTCACGAAGGTCACAGGGTGGCCGGACCTTATCAGGAAGTCCGAGGTGAAACCAGCAAGATAGCCTGAGAGCGCCATCAGGCCCCACGGGACGGCGCTGAACCACGCCGCCTCCTTCAAATCCGCGCCAAAAACCTACTCGAAAACCCCAGTCGACTTATTCAGCGAGAAGGGAGAGTTGACGTACGTATGCAGCAGATGTTTTGTCAGACACTCACAGTTTTGAAGTAGACGGGCATCCACGTGAGCAGGACGAAGTAGCCCTGAGAGGAGAGCGCGTTGACTGTTAGGCAGCGGAGGAGGAGAAGCAGGGGGCTTTGGGGGTTGGGGAGGGGTGGAGCGAGAGAGAGTTTATCATATGCATACCCAGTTGTTGGTGATGTTGGCGAATATGATCGCCCAGGAGGGCATCTTCGAGAGTAGGTGCCGGAGAGGGAGAAGGTCCCCGCCGCCGCCGTCGCTGGTGTGGTCCTTTCCTGCTCGAATCAAGCGAAGCTCGGACGTGCTAAGGAGACTGCTGTCGCGGGGATCATCGACCATGGAGACTGCCCAGACTGACAGCCACAGAAATCCGACGGCCGAAAAGAGCAAAAAGGGCCCTTGGATGCCGGTCCTGGAGATGAGAACGGGGGAGACCAGGAGGCTGAGGACGTTGCCGAGGTGGAAGCCGGCCATCGATAGCCCCACGGCTGTCGCCCGCTCGTGGATCGGGAACCACCTGATTTTGAGTCGCCGTCATCCGTGCGCACACTCGTCAGACGAGGAGAATTCACGATCACGGCAAAGACGACGACGGCGGCGGCGGCGTTCACCTGGATAAGATGACGTTCATGCAGGGAATGGCGACGCCCTCTGCGAGGCCGAAGATGGCCCGTACGATGAGGAGCGCTGCTGTGGAACGGGCGGCGGCCCACGGCGTGAGGAAGGTGGCCAGAGACCACAGCGCCGCGCCGACGGCCATCACCCGCTTCCCGCCGTAGCGGTCTGCCAGAGCGCCCCCCAGCACCGACGACACCAGGTATCCCCACATGAACGACGACTGCAGTACGCAAGGCCTCCACCACTGTTAGCCGACGCAGACACATACTCGCGCCGCTCACAGTCTCAGAAGAGTTGCATCCAAGCGGCGCAGAAAAACGTAAAATTCTCTACTCTTCCCTCCCCCCCCCCCAAGTAAACTTTTAGCCGCGTAAATGCTCCCCATCCACCACTAGGAGGGGACCCCATCCCGCGCCAACTCTACAGCAAGCGTGCTGGGGGGATACCTCACGTGATATCCACATCACGTGGATCACGGACTGGTCAGGGTCAACGCAGGCCACAGGGCTCACCAGCCCTCCTCACCCCGTCGAGTCTAACCAACCATCCTCACAAGTGTCCGTCTAGCGAAAGTAAACGGTAAGGGCGCGGCCGCACGGACGGCGGACGACGCGATCTTGCGGTGGAGTCAGCGCGAGCAAAAGGGGGAGAGAGAGAGAGAGAGAAAGAGATCCAGGGGAGAAGAAGGGGGGCACCTGCACGATGCCCACGAAAGAGCTGGACCAGCCGTTGTGGGCGGCGAGAGGGACGACGGCCACGGACATGACGACCCGGTCGGCGTTGCAGAGGCACATCACCAGCGCCACAAGCGACGCCACCTTCATCCGCTCCGGCACCGCATACCCTGCGATGCCCACCAACGGCTCCATCCTCTCCGCGCTGCAGGCCACCCTCCCAGACCTCCCGGCTCTGTCCCAGCGTCCCCCCGCCCACGCACCTTCGTTTCTCTCCCATCCGCCGCTGGAGCCCCCGTCGCTCCGTAGGAAGAAGCTCTTGCTTGCGCACCATTGCGACCTTAGAACGCCGCTTCTCGGCGGGCGGAGTCTGCTGAGGCTCCCCCCAGAGGGGATCCCCTCCGCCCTCGCTCGCCGATTCGACGTCGTCGTGTACCGGCGATCGCAAGAACAAGGCTGGGGGGAACGGGCGGCGGCGGCGGCCATGGTGTGCGGGGGACAAGGGGAAGGAGGAGATGTTATATTACCCGCTAACACGGCGGCAGTTGGTGAGGGGATCTGGTAGAGAGGGGGGAGAGGAACGTGGGACAGTGTGAAGGGTGGTTCCGTCATTTCACGAGGATATTGTTTACTGACGTTTCGCGACAGGGCGCTGTGGTGGATCCACGTGTCATATTTTTGGATTTAATACCTTGTTGACGTGTTAATTGACGGTACGGCGGATTGAATAAACCAGCAGCGAAGGCTTACGCAACAGCCCAAGCGAGGGGGCCAACGTCCATCTGCCTGCCGCGTGAGACGTGTCCCGCCCGACGGCCCCCCACCAACCCGCCCCACCCACCGAGTTGGCCTCTCCATCCCCACGGACGAGCGAGCGGGCTTCGTGCCGGAAGACCCGACTGGATCAAGACGAAGTGAATATATGGGCCCCACCTCGCTGGCAAGCGGAGCTGGCGACAGCGGAATGCCACGTCGCCCTCGGTGGAAAGAAAACCGCCCCAGGGAGAAAGCCCCCCCTCCCCAAGCAGTAGACCCCTGCGTGTGTGTATGAGAGAGAGAGATCATCCGACTCCGAACGGACACAAAAAGACTCTTATTAGATACACGCAGGCAGCCCATCAAGCGGCCCCATGGAACGGCGACGAAGCCGAATCGACGATCATTTCGTCCAACCCGCATAGCCAGCATGGAATCAGCTAACCGTGTATTAACTTCCTCCTAGTTTACAGCCACCACCCCCCGGCGGAAGAGCCAAAGTAGGTGGGTCGCTCGGTCACCTGGATGGAGCTCTGTCTATCCCCAGCGGCTGCGGCTTGCTGTCTCAGTATAACTGCAGCATGCTCCTCGTGAAGGAATGCGGGTGGATGGCCTGATGGGCCTTCCCCGGGCCGATGCTGCCCCTCCGGCTGCTGCTCCTCATCGGCGTCAGGTAGAACCTTAGCATCCCGTTGTCGGCGGCGCGACCGGGCGAGAATCGTGCGCTGCGGTTCCTCTCCAGCACGAATTCCCCTGTTCTCTTCTTCCCGTGCCCGTTGATCTCCAGCCCGTTCCGCCTCGCGCCCCCCGATCCGGAGGTGCCGCCGCTGCTCTTGAAAGAGAGCCTCGAGTTCACGGCACTGCTGCACCGGAGCATCTGCCCATTGCGCCCGTCCCTCCGCAGCTCCGGCCAGGACTCGGAGAAGGAGCGCTCCGCCACGCTGGCCCCGACCCCCCTGCCGCGACTCCGCCGGTGGATGAGGCCCCAGAGACTCCAGGCCTTGCTCCACCGGCGGGACTTTTTGGGTTTTCCCCCTCCCTTCACGGGTTCCCCAAATCCGGCGGAGTCGAAGCTCTCCGAGCGGCCGCCTTCCCTCGCGGACAGGTTCGAGGCGGGATCCCTGTAGTCCCGCTCGAACCTGTCCATGAGGTGGAGGTACTCGGTGGAGATGCCGGTGGGCGATGATGACCTGATGATGTTGGGCATGGACTTGGGCAGTAGTTCGTCGCCCTCGAAGGAGGACCTCCGGATGGAGAAAGAGCGGTCCAGACTCCTCCGGCGACGCTGCGAGGAGTCCAAATAGTAATCCCTCGTCTGAGAAGAGCCGCCGGGAATCGCGCAGTCCTCCTCTACGGGGATATCCCCGTCGAGGCGCTGGACGGCAGGCGGGGCGGAGACCGGGGCGTCCTCCATCACGGACAGCATCGGCGGCTGCCGGGGGGCCACGGGGCGAACCCCGGTGAGGCATCCATCCCACGAAGCTCGGGGCTCGTCCAAGGAGAACCGAGGGTCATCCAAGGACATGCGGCCGGCGTCCAGAGAGTACCTCGGGTCCGTGTCACAGGAGCGCCGGCCAAACGCGTCCTCGGCGAGCTCCGACTGCGTCTCACGGGAGAACCGCCGCCGCGACCGAAAGAAGGGCTTCTCCGGGTGAATCCCTGCGGCAGGGCACTTGCTGCTTCCGCCGCCAGCCGCGGCGGCGGCCTCGTGCTTCTTAATCTTCTGCTTCCTCCGCCACTTCTGAAGCTTCTTGCTGAAGACAGAGGCGGCCAACCAGAAGCTCCCGGCAATCTCCTTGAGGTCCTTGGGAGGGGGCTTCTTGCTATAGGCGTTGAGGTCTATGTGATCCTTTATGGTCAGCTCCTCCCCCACCATATCATCCCCCACTATGTCCTCCGCGAGCACGGGGCGGTGCGCCGGCCCGATCTCGTCTCCGTCACCGAGTTTCCCAGTCTCAACAACGGCGGCGGTCATCGTTCCGACTCGTACACTTCGTTGCTGTTCCTCCCTCTCGTCCTCTTCTTCCTCCTCTTCTTCTTCTTCCTCTTCTTCCTCTCGAGATTCGATTAGCGTAGCGGCGACGATGGGATCCAGCCTCCGGCTACGGGCCTCAACCTCAATCTCCCCTCCACCGGCATTGACAGGTACAGAGTAGATTGGGAGAGGGAAGGGGTTCGAAATGTCTGCGCCCACGGCCGGCCCTCCGTCATCGAGATGGAAGAGGGACCAGAGGGTGTTGCGCACCCGGACATCGCAGGACTTGCGCTGCGGCTCTACCACGGAGAGGAACGGAGCCGGGGGCCTCCCGGAGAAGGACTTGCAACGACGGAGCTCCGGGAGGAACGATGACGGCTTGGACGAGGAAGAGGCGACCGCGGCGGCGTCGGCATTGCAGTGGTTGGGGTGGTGAACAGCCGTCCGGAAGAAGAGCGATTTGAGGGCCGCGGAGGCGCTGGAGGAGGCGGACGAAGAGCTGAGGCGGCGGTTGGCGGTGTCTAGCCCCTCCAGTCGCTCCCGGAGACAGGAGGCACAAAAGCCCGTGACCGGCTGGTCTGGGTGGCGGTGGCACGTAGAGGCTCGATTGAAGGGCTGCTGCGGCTGAGGCGGCTGAGGCGGCTGAGGCGGCTGAGGCGGCTGAGGCGGCGGCAGGTAGTCGTGGAGATACTGCTGCGGCTGGGCGTCGAGTGCGGCTGCCATCGGTGCGGAGCGGTGCCCCCACCAGAGCACGCCGGGCCACAGTATGCCGAAGGGCTCGTCCTCGTCCTCGGTCAGTCTGTCCCCGAGCGCTTCCGAAGCCCTCCTAGCGGTGAGGCTCACTCAGTCCATCGCTCGCAATAACTTGGCGACGCTGCCGCGACAGAGCCAGTGGGCGCCGCGACGGAGTGACAGAGAGGGAGGAGGAGGATGCAGCCTTTGCGCTTGATAGGAACGTCTACCTCCGTACATGAGCGGCGCAGAGGGCGAAGGATATTTCAGAGAGAGACAGAACGGGGAGATGGAGAGAGAGAGAGATAGGGTCACCGTGGGAAAGCGAGCGGGACGAGAGGGAAAAAACGGGTGCGAAAGGGTGGAGGAGAGAGGAGCCGAAGACAAAAGAAGGGCGAGGTGAGAGAGAGAGAGGGGGGGGGGGGAAAAGAGAAAGCAAAAAGTATTGTGAGGAGTAGCAATCACGCCCTACTGCAGCGTGCCAGCGCCTCCCCCTCCCTCCCACCGCTCTGCCTCGCTCTCTCTCTCTCTCTCTCTCTCTCCAACTTTCTCTTTTTCTTTTTCCCCCCGCCCTCTTTTTCTCGAAAATAAGAAATCGGTGTTTCTTTCCCGGGCGGAGAGAGAGAGAGACAGCGAGAGAGAACTGGCCCCCGGTGACTGTTTTCTTACGCAGAGCGTCGACGGGGTGAATCAGGGTCCTGATCTCTCCCGCTGCCCTGTCTCGTCCCATCGCAGGCGGTGACCGCATCTCACCGGTGCGCCTCCTCGACGACTGAACCCTGGGGAGGGTCTCAAAATACGAAATTAAATGTTAATTAACAGCTAGAGCTACACCGGAACCGCCTCCCGGATCGGCTTTAGGGCTCTCTCTCCCTCTCGCCGGGCGGTCTTTGGATCGCCCGAGCGGCGCCGGCACGTGCGCCGAGGATCGAAGAGGACCCCATCAACCCCTCCCCCATGGACGGCCCACCGGGGTTTCGTTTGTTCCTACTGCCTCGGGATGCGCCAAAAAAAAAAAGGAATCCAACCCCCCCCCCATCACGGCCTGATCCCCCGGCCAAGAAAAATAAGACGGCTGAAACCAGCGCACGGACGAGCAAGAGCGGCGGGATGATGATCTCCCGGGTTGGAGAATCTAACGGTCGGGGAGCGCCACAGCGACGGCGAAATCGCCGGAGGGAGAAGGGCGTCGGACGGGGTTGGAGACGTCGCGACGCCAATGAATGAATTCGGTGAGGGAGTAGGGAGGGAATTTGTCTCCTTGGCCCACTTTCCGTCACTGTAGTTGACTCTGCTCCCCTGACAGGAACGGAGAGAAGAAGGTAGCAAGAGAATCCAGCCGGGCGGCGGAGAGACGACGCCGGCGCCGTCGGCTCAACCGGGCCCCGCCGGCAACCGGAAAGTGCGGCTCTGTCGTCCGCCGGGGGAGCGATCGTCACGGCGACGTCATCTGGGGGGCTATCCCTCGCTTAGCTCGTCGAATCAGATGGCTCTCGATGGCTGTCTCAGCGCGTGATGGGGCCTCGCCGACCCGAGATTGTTGGAGACAAGGCTACTCAAATCGGCCGCGTGGGGAAGAGGGCTGCGGCCTCCGAGATTTTTTTTATTTTTTTTCTTGTTTATAGATAGATAGCCACAATCACGATCACGATCAAAGAGGGTGGGCGTCGGTGCTATAAAAATAATACTCTGAAAGAGGTCGCTTTATCCTCGTCCCTCTCCCCTCTCTGGATGACCACGGCACGAGGATGATTTTCTCGGGTAAAATAATCGCATCTCTAGCGGCACGGTCCGGGTTGTTGTTGTACAGATGGAGGGTCGTCGGTCCTGTCGGCATCTCCGCGGGCGGGCCAACAGGGTTTATCCCCAACTCTCGCAACCGGACGGGCGGATGAGCGGCTTGTCTTCTTCGGAGGCGGTAGGAGCAACCTCCTAACTGTCCGTCGCAAGAGCCCGCAGAGGCTACCGACTCAGATCATCGTCACCTTCCCTCGTCTCCGAGGTTCGTTCCCCCGTGGCCAGCGGCGGCGGCGGGCCCTGGCCTCTGGATGGTGGGGGGCTGGGTCGTAGAGGAACATGCAGGCAGGCAGGCGGCCGGGGGCAGGCAGGAGGGGATAGGTGGGGAGGGGGGGGGGGGAGGGGTTATTCCGAGCAAAGCTTCTTTGGGATTTACAATATCCCGGTGCGGGCCGTGGCATCCATCGTTCACCTGGGGCCTCTCGCTGAGGGCCCTCCCCCTACGGCGGCAGCAGCAGCAGCAACCAACAGGGGCCGGACTACTAGCATCGGCACAAAAAGTCGCAGGTTGATAAGATTAGATTAGATTGCCCGGGGAATCATCGGTCCAAGGGTTTAAAGGTCCCTTGGGGCTTGGGAAAGCGGAGAAGGGCATCCCCTCTTTTGCACTGGTAAAGTGAGTGGGATGCACCGACGAGAGAGACCCACCCACTCAACCCATTCGTGGACCGCGGGAGTTGGAGCCTCTCTCCCCCGCGCGGAGCCCTCTTCATCCCTTCACTACCTTCAGGTCTCCTCCAGCAACCAGACGACAGGGGAACCCGACCTCCTGGTGCCGTCAGAGGGTCGGCCATACGAGCTTGAGGTCGTCCAGCAGGGGGAAGGGGAGGCATTTCGTTCCCCGGCCGAATAGGGCAGAAAACGAAACACCTAACAGAGGGGCACAAACGAGGGTGGCGACTTGGCCGTACACAAGAGGGCGCACTTCTGAGGAGAATTACGTCGAACAGTTACGAGCGGCTCCCGAGGGGACGACCAACCGCGCTTCAGCTGGCAGCCTGAGCCGGGCCTCAGGGCGGAGGAAAGCGAAGCAACATGCTAAACAGGTTGTGCTGGCGCCGCAGCCTACGAGGACTGGCAAAGCCGAACTAGTTCTTCTGTCGGACCAGTCGATCTGTCAGCGGGGGCATATACACATATGGACGGACACTAAAAACACCGGCGGCGAGGAAGAAAAGGAGCCCGCCGCCAGGAAGAAAACAGTGACGAAGGACGAGCCAGCGGCGCCTGTGCCTTCTTCCTCTGGGGAGCGCTCCTCGCCCTCGCCGTCAACGCGACCCAAATAAAGTTAGGGCTTTCTGGGGTCAGCTGTTCATGGTGGTAGCCAGGCCGCGCCGTAGTGCCGCACGCGCCGCTGGATCCCCGACTTGTCGTCGATCGCGCACCCGATCACCTCGGCTTCCTTCCCCGACTCGTCGGTCGATGTACGGTACTTCCGCCCGAGATAAAGATGACGATGACGACGACGACGACGACTATGATGACCACGATGACGACTGTGTTCTGATCATACGAAAACTCTATTAGTTGGGAACTCTGCGTGTGCCTAATCATATGATCCCCCGAAATTGATGACCGTAGGATAAGCTTCAAGCAGTGATGAGAGCCGTATCATTCTCTTTCCTGTATCCTTTCCGTAGACGAGAGGTGGACCGGGTGTGGCACCGGGGCGGACCCAGAGGCGGCCCATCACAGTGCACACCGGAATCCTTCCTCTTGCCGCCCCATTCCCTCCAACTTCGCACCGCCGAGCCACCAAAGATCCAGCTACCTCTTCCTACCAAACAGCGTGCGGCTCGGAGTGGGATGCGTGCACGGGTAACCTTCGACTTTCCTTCCGCACCTATTAGGCCGCCGTCCCCGCCTCCGCCCCTGAGCGTGCGCCTACCCGAAGGCGTGTCCACCTCCGGCGCGGCCCTTATGCCGCACAAAGCCGGCGGAAGACTTATGGGAAGTTTGCGGGACCCTCCGATGAGACACCATCGCGTGCGCTACCGCGAAGGGCCCTCTCGCCGCCCTCGTCGGGGAAGAGCTGTAGGGTCACCCAGGTTAGTCCTTCAACCTTTGTCACCTCCGAGCTGTCCGGCCTGCTCTCCTGCGACACTCTCCATCGATGGCTCTGCGACGGCGGGGTTCAGCTCGCCTGGACAGTCGAGTCGCTTGAAGCAACCTGGCGCTGTGGGTCGAATCCGAGTTTGACCGGAAGGACCATAATACTTCGGTTCTCTCGAATGTGCTCCACCTGTTCGGCAAAACGCTCACAACAAAAATCCCTTCGCCTGCAAAATGGCTCGCTGGTGGGTTCGCAGGAGCGAGAGATTATGGTGCACCTTGCTTCGGTTCTCCGAAAATCCTGCCACCCACATGAAGGGAGATCCAGCGCAAGGAGGTTTCAGAAATGGCGCTTTGAGTAACTCCCTGACCCCCTTATTCCGCTCGGAATCTCTCGCCGCGGGGAACGTCTCGATCGCCATGGTCAGCAGGATCTGTGTTTCGACCCCGTTACCCAATTATAGATGGCGTGTCCGGGGAGCTTTCCGCTTTCTACTCTATGCTCTCTTCTCTCTCCTCTCTGCTTTCTGTTTGTCTGTTCACACGGGCCTCCTAAAGGCATTCGATCCCGTCTTCTCTGATTTTCTTCTCTTATTCGTTCGTTTTTATTGGACACCGTCATACCCGGAAGTTGCAGTTTCTCCGAAGGCTGAAGTCATCGAACTCACAGCATCGGATCTCCTCCCAGCAGGGCCGCCCGGAGTCCCACAGAAACCGGCACCTGCCTGGAAGAGACGAGAGCTTCGATGGTCTGCCTGACCGTGAGGAACGACTTTCTCCTTGCCCGACTAACGTTACCGTGCCGTTGACTTGCTTGCTCGCGCTTTCCTCTGTGTGATCAAGTCGTCGGATTGATCCGGTGCTTCCTCTTGGTCTTCTCTCGGAATCTTGTAGCCAAAGGGCGAACTCTTCGATTCGGTGCGCTGGACCATCTCTGGTCGGCCACAGAAGTCTGCCATCGGCCTCTTCTCGCGCTGGTGCGCGCGTGGTCTTGGCGGCGAAGATATGCCGTCAAGACGAGAGCTTGATGCAAAATCGACGATTGCTGGTTGCGTATCAAGATCCGGTGCCCAGTCGTTCTCCGGGTTTTATTATCTCCTGCAACATTTTCTCCGTTCAGCCGCGACAACCGTTTGATTTTA